ATTAACTCTTTAAAAAAACCCTTTTTAAATCTTTACCATTTGAATATGTTTAGTAACCTCTAAAAATCCCATGGAAAATGATTAATAACTGAGAATTGTACAATTTATATATTGGGTATATTTTACCAACATTCTAATTCTAATTCCAATTCAAACATTCTAAGAAGTCTTGTATACATTTAAAAGCGATCCTAAGCCCTCACAAATTTCTAATAAACTCCTTGCCAAATCAAAAATCTTTTCATCTTTTAGGGACTTCCAGCTATCCATTTAGAACCCATCCATACATGTTCAAGTTATTATTTTGAACTGCTTACCGTAACTCAACGCCTCACAATCGTATAATTTTATGGAGCATCCCAAAGTTGCAACGAATTCCGGCTAGAAGCCAAATCCGAATGCTCCGCTAGCAAACATCAAACATTTGAAGGCATTAAAATAAATTTTAGTAACGCGGCCTTTGCGTAGACTAAACAAAATAAACATAATACTGCGTTTGAAGGTGTTTTTGGGCAGAGGCCCCGTGCGCACTTACTATAAACAAATAAGGCGAAAAAGTGCCCAAAAAAAAGCGGGGAAAATCGAAGAAGAGGAAAAACATCAGCGGAAGGGCCCCCAACAACAAGTTTTTAATGCATGTCGATGTCGTCGTCGCCGCCACAGATCAAAGGCAAATCGTATATGTATATAGAGGTTGGGGTGCTGCATAGGATACCATGCCATACCATTCCGTTTGATGGGTTGGTTGCTGGAAATGAAAATGCAGCAGGGGCGGTCGCAGTCGTTTAATTGCACTTGCCGCTTACTTTTTTATCTGGTGCCTGGCATGGAGTAACCTGCGCATGTGTAGTTGCCTTTGATGTGCGCTGTTTATTCGAGCGCTATAAAAAACCATAAAATATGCATAAAACGCATAGGCAATTGCGATTGAAGCCCTGAACTGAGCGGGCCTGAATACGGCAATGGAAATGGAAATGAAGCGATTAAGTGCAGACGCTGGCAATTGGAAAGAAATTGTCGTCGGCAATTGCGGGGAATTCACTTGATGATGGCCAGGGCAGATGACTTATGATGGCACAAGAGGGTGACTCTGGGTTTCAAAAAGGGTGCTTAACATGGTAGTACAAGTAAATGAAATAATCAAAACAAGAAGAGGGAAAATTCTGACATTTCAATGTTGCAACTTTCGACAACAAAAACTTGTATCATTGCATTTTAAAAAATTAATTAATTAAAAATATAAAATAACTTTCTTTCATTAACGATGATCTTTTCTAGAACCAGCTTTAGCAAATACCAAGAAAATCTTCTAACAAAAACCATCCCCTCCCATCAGAGAAACGCCAGAATGTCGAGCTATTTTACGACTTTTTATCGGGGGTTGCCTTTCCTTGCAGCGGAGTCGCTCGTCATCTGATGCGTGCTGCTTTTGTCATAAAAAGCGCATAAAAAGCTGTCGAACACTCATCCGGATTCCATGGGCTTTACGGCCGTGCCAAGTGGGCTACGAATTTACGATGGTGAAGCGGAGGAATTTTACGAGCCACAACGCACAACGCCTGGCCGCCGCAAAAAAGGAGATTGAAACGATTGCGCTATAAAATGGGGCTCTATGAGAGCCATAAAATATTTATTCTACTAAAAAATAACTGTACATGGGATATATACACAGAGACACACATGCATAAATACATATATATATATATAAACTAGATAAATATAAATACAAATAGATTTTTCTGGGCGATTTCACAAGTTCCTTTTTGATTCTCAACAACAAAACGGAGTAACGCTCGAGGGGCATGAGACCGAGATCATGGAAAGAGGCTGAGAAGTGGCTTCTCAGGGCGAGCACAACTCCTCACACAATATCGTCGGCCACCTGCGACTCCTGCTCCAAAATTGTGCTCTCCCTCAGCTTGCTCTTCAGATTCTTGCTGGAGTTCGCCTCCGTCAGGCAGGGCTCGTTCTCCTGGTGGTCATGCTCCTGACCATCGGTAGGCCCATTAGCATGGCCATCCTCCAACTGCACCTTGCCCAGATGACGACGATAGCGGTACCAGACCTTTAGTCCCAGCACTAGGACAAAGTACAAGAAGGCCAGGCAGATGATCACGATGATAATCCGGGTGATTATGGAATTGGAGGCGGACTTGGAAGACTTGACTACCAGCAGGACATCTTCCCTCTTCAGTCCCGCACTACTGCCAATGGTGCAGCCGTACCGACCCTCATCCTCCGGCCGAACATTCCGTATCTCCAGCGTTCCATTCTCCATCAGCGAAAAGCGTTCCGCATCCGTGTTGTTCTCGTTCAAATAGGTGAGATCCTTGTCCCATCGAATCGTGGGCTTTGGCTCTCCGATCGCCTGGCAGTGGATCACCGCCGTTCCCGCCTCCGCCACCTCAATTGGTCCTTCGGGGGGGACACTGAACTTGGGAGCCACCACCACATTGATGGACACAGTGGCACTTATCTGACCCTGGCTGTTCGAGGCGATGCAGGTGTACTGACCGCGCTGTTCGTTGCTGACCTGGTTGAAGATCAGAGTACCATTCTGGTCGGTCACGTTTACAGGCAGAGGCAGCTGGGTTTCCTAGAAGGATTAGATTTGGATGTAAATGGTTATTAGGGTGATTTATAATTTTTTTAAAAACCTAGCTCGAATTTGGTTTAAGGTAAGTAAGTTTGCGAATGATTTTAATTATTTTATTATTTCTCCAACCTTATGCAAGAAATGAGTTCTTAAAAAAAAAAAAAAAAAAAAAAAATTTTATATTTTTTTTTTTTAAAAAAATTTTTTTAAAAAAATTTTTTTTTTTTTTTTTTTTTTTTTTTTTTTTTTTTTTTTTTTTTTTTTTTTTTTTTTTTTTTTTTTTTTTTTTTTTTTTTTTTTTTTTTTTTTTTTATATTTTTAAGTTTTTTGGGCAGTTCTTTGCTTTAATAAACAAATAAACAAATAAATACATCACATTATATCGGTATTATTTAAGTTTAACTAGAAAACTATATTGCTGAGATTAAGAATCCAATCTGATCATAAAAAAACATTATTATGTTAAAAAAATTAAACATCATTTACTATTTTACATATTGTTGAAAACCTATTAAAGTGTTGTCAAAAAAGAAAGTAGGTACTTAGATAACTGACAAGAAGTTAGTAATTACAAGCCAATAGATTAATGTCTTAACACTTTTTTAAGCAAGTAAGCTATAAGTAGTTTTGAAAATAAAAATGTTTATGTCATAAAAAGGCAGTTTTTTGTACACGCAATAGAAATCAGCTCCTATACCCTTTAAAAAATATTTGTAGCGTCACGCAGTTTAAGTCAAAACATACATTACATCTGCAAGATATTAACACAATATAAAAGAAAAACCTTTAATGTTTAAGCATAACTTTAAGAATTTCATTTAAACTTTCAAACAACTATATCAAATCTGTATTTATGTTTTACTTGTAGCGTTAGGAAAACATTATAAAATAAATTGAAATTGAAAAAAGCCGAAACATTTTTAGAGCTTTGAACAGAAGCTTGTTTAATCAAACCCAAAGTACTAAGTACTATTACTAAGATATGTTTCGAAAATTTATAATTTTCCTAATTAATGACTACTTACCCTCATCCATTTGACTTGCGGGGGAGGCGTTCCCTGCGCCTTGCAGTGGACTTTACTGAGTGAGCCCAGCTCCAAGTTCTTTGAGGTGGGCTGTGGCATGAACTTAAGTTGTTCTATAACCTGCAGAACTCCACTACTCGAACTGGCTGCTACGGAGCCCTCGATGACCAACTGGCACTGATACTGACCGGCATCGCTGGCCAGGACGCTGTTAAATTGCAGGGAACCACTATCCCTGTTCAAAGCCACTCGCGAGTCCTCTCGCAACATGGTTTCCAGCTGAGGTTCGCTGGTTGTGCTGCTCATCCGGCCCATCTCGACCTGACGGAGTGTTTTATTGTCCTTCCGCCAGCGCAGGATGACGCTGTCCTTCTCAAGATACCCATCCGGCAGTTGGTAGTCGCAGGGCAATTGCAAGGGACTCTGCTCCTTGATGGTAATCGAGGACTGAGGGCCCTTCGCGATGCTCACATCCTCAAAAGATAAAGGCGCGGCTGAGGGGCAGATAATGGGGGATTTATGAAAATGCGAAAAGATGAGTCAGTCAGTCGACCTAACTCACCGTTAGAGCAGAAGATCAGGCAGAAGAATCCCAGGCCGCAGCTCAACAATCGTCTTCCGTTCAGCCCCATTTCGAACCGAAGAATTCTTTTGATTTCACTTCGTACTTCCTTCGCTTCTTTCGCACAAAACCGGTGTGTGCTCTTCTTTTCTTCTTGTTTATTTGCCGATTTTTGAAGGAATTCCGTTTTGCCCCGGTCGGTTTTTTGTTTTTTTGTTATTTGGTTTTTCCTTGCTTCACTTCACCTCACTTCATTTATTCCGCCCGGAGTGGAGAGCATTTGCTTTATGGTTATTTTTATGTTACGCACACGCGTCACGCTTTATTATCCTGCCGCAGACGCAGAGCCCGGGGATCTTTCGAGCGATTCGGTTTCGAGGGGACCCGGAAGATAGTATCGCTATCTGAGGCACAACCGTCCACGTTCGGTTTCGGAACTCTACTGACGCCGCATCGGGCTAATTTAACGCTGCCAGCCGGCGCACGGTTCGCACATGCGCCCTGAATTGTACCCAGTATTTCCCGGTATTTCAAGAATGGTTGAGAGCAACACCGTGAGACCCGGTATCTTTACGCTACTACTTTTGTTGAGTAGGAAAAGAACAAAAAGTAGCATTTCTAAAAAGGTACTTTTCTGCGATATATGTTTTACCACAATTATTTATAAGTTATCCAGATTAATATTAAGAATTTATTATTATTAGTTTATGATATTTATTTAAACACTCTTTAATCTCCTTAGAAAATTCGTCCATTAAAATCTTTTACTTTAACAGTTCTGTAAATATAATTGAATATGCTTCAAAAAACAATTATCTTTTTCACCTTTTTCATAAATTGGTTTTATTTTAGATAATAAAGTCCTATATGTGGCTACAATACAGATTTTAAATAAGTAATTTTTTAAATTTTAAATAAAAAAATATTGTAATTGTGAAATAAATTAAATAAAAAAGTTTAATATGATATTTCGGATTAAAGGACTAGCACTATCGAGGTGGAGGACATGGGTTAATTTTTTTCCTAATTCAAAACTGGAATCATCATTTTTGGATTGTTAATTCACAATCAATTTCTATAGCTATTAAATTATAGGTACTTTTTGAATATAAGCTACATGACTATAAATACAATTTCAATCTCATATATTGTGGTTATTCGAGCAATTCTTGAGAATCTTAGGCTTATTGTCCGTGAGGAGTGGGAAATGCAGTCTAAAATTGAGGTATGGTCGAGACGCGATTGTAGAGCGTCTGCCGTTTGGCCACGCGGAAGGGGCAGCGGGTCATCATCTTGAAGACGACGGCCCCGCAGACTACGAATAGGCCCCAGAATACGTAGGTGAAGAGCAGGATGAAGCGATTTGGCTGCCACAGAACAGTGTAGCTCAGGTTAAAGTTTTCTAAAATCAGGATTAATATTACAACCTTAAATTAATAAGTAAGTCTATTTAAGAACTCACCTAATACCGCATAGCCCATGCCGATTTTGGACTTTCCCATGCGATACGAGCAGGTTGGCACCATGATCTCCAAATAGCTATGCTCCTGCTCCTTGAGAGCCTTCAAATCGAAGTGCCTCACGGCGTTCTCGTAGAAGTTGATCACCTTGGTAGATGGGTAGATAAATATTCTCGACTCGTGCCAGTGGCCAGAGAAAATGATATGTGGATCCAAGTCACTGATAATTGCCCTCAGCAAGGGTCCGCCGCCGATGAGCAGCGGAGCGTGCGATACGCCAATCCTTAGCCGATCGGCGTTGTTATCCCTATCCGGATTGGTAAAATCGAGCAGCATGCGGTTGATCTTGAAGAAGCGCAAGCGATTGTCGTAGTCAAAGAGGTCCTCACTCATGAAGGCGTTCTCGAAGCGTCTTTGGTTCGAGTTGGATATGTAGTCGCCGTTTTCGCCGCCAATATCGTTGTCACCCGGCACGTGGACGCGCTGAAAAAGGGCAGATATCATTCGGAACTATTAGACCTTAGGGCAATTCTTTTTGAAATTTAATATTCGAACAGCAATTGAGAATTTAAGAAAGAAAATTATACTATCAAACAAATCAAGATTAAACTTTTAATTAAAGAGATTTTTAAAAAAGATCAGATATCATGCGGAACTATAAGACCTTAGGACAATCCTTTTTAAAATTACAAAATTCGAATAGCAATTGAGAATTTAAGAGAGAAAATTATATTATCAAACAAATCAAGATTAAAATTTTAATTATAGAGATTTTTGAAAAAAAGCTTATATCTTGCGGAACTATTAGACCTTAGGACAAGCCTTTTTGAAATTAAAAATTCCAATAGTAATTAAGAATTTAAACAAGAAAATTATATTATCAAAGAAATCAAGATTAAACTTTTAATTAAAAAGATTTTTGAAAATAGATAGCTGCCCATCTTGCGGAACTATTATACCTTAGGACAATCCTTTTTGAAATTAAATATAATATTATCAAAAATATCAAGACTAAACTTTATGGATTTCGTATCAAAATTGTGGTATTTTCAAAATAAAGAGATTTTTTGACTTGTAAATAGTAAAATAATCCCTAACTATCCTTACTTTTTTAAAGTTCTTGTTCTGGTAGATCCGCCTGAACCGCTGAACGTACTGCTTGTATTCCTGGGCCGTGGCTATGTTGCCCTCGTCCAGCAGATCGCCCAGGAAAACGATGATGTGGGGCTGAGTGAAAGCAAGAGCTCGCTCGAAGGTCTTGGCCAGATACCTATCCGAGTCGAACCTGGCCAAAGGACTGTGCGAGGATCGATCGTAGGAGTTTCCCAGGATCTGTGGATCGGCGATGAGCAGCAGGCGCGTGCAATTATCTAGGGTATAAATGAGCGTAGTTGGGTGTTCTGAATTAGAAACTGGGTTCCAGCCTACCTAGTTTGCAATCGATTGGCTGCCAACTGGACTGGGCCATGTAGTAGACTATAAACTCGTTGAAGAAGACCAGCAGCAACGTAAGAGCCACAAAGCCGCGGCACACTAATCTGTTTCTTTCGGGGATTACGAAGAGGATTAAGCGGTTGGGATGATGAGATTAAAACCCTATTTCGACTCACCTATTGACTAGGCGCAAGGAAGCCATTATCCCGGCTGCTTCACATCGGTTTGGATTGCTTGATTAATACTTTCGGTTGTCCTCTGGCAAATGCAATGCCTCACATAGCGTCTATATATAATCTATATTTAAATATGCACTGCCCATGCAATATTTACGTAAGCCTATTCATATTTCGGGAATGTTTAGCTTCTGCAACGGACGGCGGACAACAGGCCAATACCGCCGCATCACCGATTTCAGGGCACAAGCTAAATTGGATTAGAAAACGGAACATGTAGAAGGGCCGGAACATCGTGTTGGTCTTTTACCTTTCTCCACCGCCTTTTTGCCATGCGCGCCATCGGCTTTTGAATGCGGAGGATTCCGTTACTGCGTTCGCCGGCTGCAGGTGCCAATAATTGTGCAATTATCTTTATCTAATGTTTGCACTTTTCGCTTTTGGTGCGGCTGGGTGGCAACGCCACAGCTGTTTGCCAAACACAACAAACAGATATGGAGATGGGCGCGTGATTGAGTTTATCTAAGCGATAGATAAAACCAAAATGCACATATTTTCAAACCGATCTGCAATTTGGGGCCACAAAATATGTTGTCCATGTAAAGGTTTAACTGCCCATTTTAAATTCACTAAATAATTATTTTACCACTCGCTTTTCAAAATTATTTCCCGTTTCGTGACACGCAACACCAAACACCCACCTCTAAGCCCCAACAACACGTCACGTGCAAACAGCTGCAATGCAATCGGGTAATACCCGTTACAGCGCCTGGCCACACTCACCCGCGACATCTGGCAACGCTGCGAGGATTAATGGCGTGCCCACTCCGCATAAATGCTCCATAGTTTTTCTTATTTTTAACAACATACGCGCCGCAAAACAACGCCAGCGACCGAACATGTGTAAATAGCTGGCCACAGCGAATCCCATCCAGAGTGCAGTGATTTGCAGGTGCCGTGCGTTCTAGCGGTGGTCGCAAGCAGGGGTTCGCAAAATTGCCAAAATTTGTGCCGCCGCCTGCCCGTTGTGAAAAGTAAGATAGCGAGTGCCGAAAACTGCGTCGCCGATTACCGCTGGCATAAAGCATTATTGGGTAACTGCAGAGTGCGGTGCATTGGTGGCTCCCGATTTTTTGTTTGCGAACGAAAAAAAACAATATTGGCCAGTGCGTGTTTGGGTGCAAGAGAGTGTGCGTGCGTGTGCGTGTGCTTGTGGGGCCGTGTACGTGTCTGTGTGTGCGTGATGCCACCCTCCTCCACTTTTTCAGTGTTATTTTGAGGGTCGCATTTATTGCTCGGATTTGTTGCGCCTGCCACTGAAACCTTGGAATCGCCCGGCTTGCAGGTAACAACTGACTACCTTTGGTGGCGAGGATGGCGGACATAGTGTACCCCAATGGCTGTCGCCCGCTGGTCGAGGATTTGGGAACGGACGAGCTGATAAGGCGCCTCAAGGTGAGTAAGCCCCCCCTGAATAAATACCCAATTAAAGCATTCTCCTCTCTCCTAAAGACCCTCGCCAATGTCCTGCAGACGATGGACCAGGACGACAATCTCTACCAGCAGTACATCCCGCTGGCGCTCCATCTGCTGGAGGACTTCTTCATGCAGCATCCCTCCCGCGATGTCCAGCTGCTCATCGCCTGCTGCGTGGCGGATGTTCTGCGGGTTTACGCGCCCGAGGCTCCCTACAAGGAGCAGGATCAAATCAAAACTATATTTAAGTTCTTCATCAAGCAGCTGCACGGGCTGAAGGATCCGCGCGATCCCTCCTTCAAGCGCTACTTCTATCTGCTGGAGAACCTGGCCTTCGTCAAGTCCTTCAACATGTGCTTCGAGCTGGAGGACTGCCAGGAGATCTTCCACGATCTGTTCAGCACCATCTTCAAGATTGTCAAGTGAGATGAGCCTGTCCCGCTTTCCCTGAGACCCGAAATGCTCATGTGCTGTTTATCCTTTCCAGTGACCAGCACAGCGTAAAGGTTACCAACTTCTTCCTCGATGTGCTGAGTCCCCTCATCACAGAAGCCGACAACCTGTCGGTGGAACTGCTGGATCTCATACTGATTAACGTGGTAGAGCCCTACAAGTCCAACAACAAGTTTGCCTGCCAACTAACCGAACAACTCCTCACCAAAACGGGCGACGCTCTCGAGTCCACCATCAAAATGGTAATATTTGGTCTGCTTTCGGTGCTCCAGTTTGCTTAAACCCATCTCTGATCAATAGTTCTTCAACCGTGCTTTGGTCATGGACAAGCCAAACACGAAACTGTCCATAACAAACAAGATCTATGATATCATCTACGAGCTTAACCGCATCAATGCGGACCTGCTGTGCTCGGTGCTGCCCCAACTGGAGAACAAGCTGCTGTCCACAGACGATGCCGAGCGGCTGAGTAATTATTTCATCAATATCTTTCCTTATTTGCTTACTGATAAACGGATTTCCCTACGTTTCCACAGAGGCCACCACTCTTTTGGCCCGCATGTTCTCCGAGAAGGACTCGCAGTTGTCCAAGAAGTACCAGAGCCTGTTGAAGATCTTCTTCGGCCGCTTCTGCGACATCACCGAGCCAGTGCGCATCAAGTGCGTCCAGTCGTCCATGCACTTCCTGCTCAATCACCCGAATCTTCAGACCGACATCACCGAGAAGTTGCGGCTCAGGAACCACGATCTCGACGAGGTTGTGCGCCACGAAGTGGTAATGGCCATTGTGGAGACTGCCAAGCGGGACTTTACGCTGGTCCTCGAGGCTCCCGAACTCCTGGAGATCGTGCGCGAGCGGACGCTGGACAAGAAGTACAAGATTCGCCGGGACGCCATGAACGGGCTGGCCTACATCTACAAGCGGGCGATCTGCGAGCCCAACGATCTGAGCACGGGTCTCAAGGTCAGGGTAGACTGGATCAAGAACAAGATACTGCACGGTTACTATAAAGTGGGCCTGGAGGATCGCCTGTTGGTGGAGCGCCTGCTCATCACCTGCCTGGTGCCCTACAAACTGGCTCCCGAGGAGCGCATGAAGAAGCTGTATCATCTGCTGGGCGACCTGGATGCCAATGCCACCAAGGCCTTCGTGGAGCTGCAGAAGAACCAAATGAAGACCCGGAACACGGTCAGCGATTGGATCAAGCTGCATCACTCCAAGGAGTTCACCCCGCGCGTCCTCAGCCAGCTGAGCGCCAAGCAGGCCAACATCGCCAAGTGGGTTTCGCGAAAGTTATTCCCTAAGAAACGGTAACCAAAGTGCCTGTCTTTTCAGACTGCTTCCAGACCCCCTGAAGGCGGCCGAGTACCTCACCCAGTTTAGCAACAACCTGCGCAAGGATGCCCAGCTGCTGCGCTGCATCAACATTGTCCTGAAGCGCGACGTTAGCTGCCGCGAGTGCGCCGACACGATGGGAGTTCTGCTCAAGAAACTCGGCGCCCATGTCCACTCGAATCTGTACTACAACACCGTCAAGATGCTGATTGAGCGCGTGGCCTCAGTGATGGTGGACAAGGAGTCCATTGGCGTGCTGATTGGGTAAGCCGACTGATCCTAGCCTAATCCCAAGCTAAATCTTATTATCTTCCTTTTCATAGCCTCATTGAGCAGTGCATTGAGGGAGGGCCCATGTGCGAGGAAATAGGCATCTCGCCACAGGAGGCGGGCGAACGCGGACTCAAGTTGTTAAGCGTGAGTTTACAGATGATCAAAAGAAAGATAATGAAATTCAAATGTTTTCTTTATTGCCGTAACAGATGCTTTCCTACGTCTTTTCTGCTCACTTCTTCACCGACACCTCGCTGCGTCACTTGATTTCCCTGCTGAGCTACGAGCAGGATTATGTGGCTCCGCTGGTGCTAAAGACCCTCACGCATCTGGGACGCTACCAGCCACTGATTGACGACACCAATCCCGCGATTCTCGATGAGCTGGCTCCGGTGTGCAAGGACTTTGCTCTGATCGGAACCCCCAAACAGGCGAAGCACGCGGTGCGTTGTATTTTCGTAAACAGTCAGTCGTCGGCAGCAACTGATGGCGCAGGAAGTGGAGGATCGGGAAGTGCGTCCACCACTACCCAAACGGTTCATCCCATTTTCAACGAGATCATCGAGACACTGCGCTTGAAACTGACGCCAAACTGCGAGCAGCAGCGCACAAAGATCGTGACCTTGGGTCACATAGCCTACAACATGCCACAGGCCTTCCTCACGCCCATTAAGAACATGATTGCGCGTCGCATTGTCAAGGAGCTGCTCATCCAAGAGGTTCCGGCGCAGCGGGAGTACGAACTGCCCGAGGACAGCGACTGGTGTGCGCAAGAGGAACTTCCGCTGGACACGCTGTGCAAGCTGGATGCCTTGAAGGCCATGGCCCGCTGGCTTTTGGGACTGCGCACCGATGAACACGCCGCCCAGAAGACATTCCGAATGCTAGCCGCATTCGTCAACCAGCGGGGCGATCTCCTCGGCCAGAACCGCCTGTGCGGGGCCGAGAAATCCTGGTTGCGTCTGGGGGCGGCCTGCGCAATGCTCAAGGTGTGCGAGCAGAAGGGCGTAGGCGATCAGTACAGTGCCGAGCAGTATTTGCAGCTTTCCCAGCTGATGGTAGGAAAAGATATTACTTTTTTACCTAATAACAAATCTTAATGCCGTATTGTATTTTTTATAGGTTGATCCTGTTCCCGAAGTCCGGGAAATCTTCGCTCGCAAATTACACAAGGGATTGGGCCGAAGTCTGCCCAGGAATTGCCTGCCCCTGGACTTTATGGGCTTGTATGTGCTGGCTGGTCTGGAGACTGACAGAAAGTGAGTGGTTTAACCTGCCATTTAAGCCGCTTCGCAGTTACTAACAAATGATTTGAACAGATTACAAGACCTGGTGCGCCACTATGCGGAAACGGATGTAAACAAACGTCGGGAATATCTCAAGACAGTGGCTATGACATGTAAATGTTTTCATTTATTCTTGTTTTTTTATACTAATATAATTATATTGCAGCTCCCGACAGCTCAACGGAGTCACAATCACTTCACATTCTACCTGACTACATGCTGGCCTTCGCCATTCCGGTGCTGGTCCACGATCCCCGCTTCACGAATCACGAGGACTACGTCCAGCTGCGCAAAATGGAGAAGTGCCTGCGCTTTGTGCTGGAGCCGCTGATGGCCAAACGCGAATCGTTTGTCCACAGCTTCTACAAGCAGTTGCTGCAGTTGATAAAGCATCGCGAGTTCAGCCAGGGCTCCGACAAGCGCGACAATTATGTATGCCACCAAATCATTGGCCTCGTTGTTTCCCCCCTTTCTAAATCAATCTTGTATTTTTTCGGTTATCAGAAAATGTGGGCGCTCTGCGATCTCGCCATGTACATTATCGACTCGAAATTCAGTCCATTCGATGCCAACACAAACACATTCTCCATGCCGCTGGCCCTGCCAGAGATGTATTATAAACAGCCCGCCGTTGCGAATTTCCAAAACAACGAGGTCTATATACCGCTGGACGTGTATACGTTGGGAGTCAAATCGACGAGCAAAGCGGCCACGACGGCCATGACAACGTCGCGAGCGGCGGCAGTTTCAAAGAGGCCGGCGGAACCATCGATCCTGGATGATGAGAATCCGCAGGTAGGTTATTGAAACCTATTGAAAAGCCATAAAATATAACACTAATTATGGTAATTTTTTCCAGGAAAACAATTTATTCGACAACATAAGAGCGGCTGACACTACAGAGCCCATGGCCAAAAGAACGCGCGCGGGAGCTGCCTCAGCCAAATCATAGAAAAGGATGGTTCGAGCGCATACTTGTTAGTTTAGTTACGTTTAGTCTAGGCGCCTAAGTTAACTAAATATTTAAGGCGTAGGCAGAACTACGATAGTTGTTAAACCGACACTACCTAATACCTACATCATGCAGATCCATTTTAAACACCCAGAGAATCGAATTATTCAGTTTCGTGTGCATTTGTACCATATTCAATTTGTGAGATAGACCAAAAACACAAAAACCCGATAACGTGTCGTATATAATCTGTTAACCGCATCTTCGTAAAAGTAATTATTTATCATTCTAAATGTTTTACCCTGTTTTTTGATTGTGTCCGTTTCTTTATATTACCCTTAGTTCTAGAACTTATTGTATATCGAATAATTGAAAGAAAGTATATCGCGCATTAGTTGAGCTACGAAGTAAAGTAATGAAAACGTAAACAGAGCCTTATTAAGTAATTAAAATTAACTTTTCTATGAACTTTTAGTTAATATAATACATCATACATAATACATAAACTTACCGCGTTAAATTCGACATGAGTGCATTGAAAATGCATCGAAACAGAGAGTTGAAAATGTTGTAAGGATTGGAAAAGAAAACATAACAAAGATACAAATAAAATGAATACACACACATTTAACTATACGAAATGTACATTTAACTATTATTACTGTTTTTCAATTACAAATAAACATATGATTATTATTTAAATGTTGAAGCGGGATTCAGAAATTGTATAGTTTTACATGCATACATATATTCTATTAATGGTAGAAGATTTCTGGACTTACAAAGTTGGAAATCTACAAATTAACTATATCTTATTGCAATTGACAAATGATATCAACAATAAAATAACATTTTTCGATAAGCTTTTAATATATTTGCTGAAAAAAACGTTAGGCAAGGTAAGGGTTAAAGAAAATTAGCTGATCTCCCATGAACTATCGATAGGCGATATTCGATAGTTCAATGTGCAACGTTTGTGTGTTCACCCACCACTAGGTCGAATTGCATTTCTGCGTTGTTTTTTTTTCGGGGGTGTGACGTTTATTGTTGTTGTTTTCGTACCATTGTGAATTAAAACAACTGTTGTGGAACTAAATATAAAGTGAAAAGTTACCCGTGAAAGCGTTCTTACAAATAACTATAATTCAAAACAAAGCAGTCGCCGGCAAAACAACAAAATGCAGGTGGAACCAATCGCCACTGGCTGTGACGTCACGCGCTGCCAGCCAGAGGAAAACAAAACCAATTGGATTTTCTCGATGGCAGCGGCTGTCAGAAGTAAAAAAGTCGGCAAACAGAACGGACCTATTTTCACCTCTACGCCGAAGAGCTCCCATCCAAATCCAAAACTTCAAAAGTACGTGGGCGTTACTGAACCCGCGGAAAAGGGGCGAGTGGGCGTGGCGACCGCCTTCGATCCGCTGCTCAAAAAAGTGGCCCTTCTCTTTGGAGCTCTAATCATTGGATACAAAAGCGTCATTTTAACCAGTAAGTGTGTCAAGTTGAGGGCTATATTGAGCGTTTATATATCGGATTTCTAATTATTTGTACAATATATACCCCCCTTAATAGCGGGGGTGGAAATTCAAGGTTGCAATTGTCGGCGGTGACGTCGTCTTCACTCGCTTTGTTTATATTTTCTCGTTTATAAATAGTTGAAGTTCGTGTGATCTCATAGCGGTGTTTATTCCCCCTGCAATAACCCCCAAATAGCGAAAAAAACGTCTATATAAAGAAGGCAAACAGTTTGTTGCGCATTTAGCCTTCTCATTTGCATACATACGTATAGCATTAGAAAACCTTAAAAGGCTTTGAGTGATTAGTTGCTTCATCTTTAAAGCAGAGAGTTATTAGTTAGTTAATTGTTTGCCCAACGGTGATTAGGTATTCGTCTTTGTTGAACCTAACGGTGTTTAGCACTAGGGAGTTTTCGTCACGCGACACATACATAAACGCATACGCGGTACCGCTAGAAAGCCCAGGAAAAATAACGAATTTTACATTTCTAACGATTCAGCAATCTAGCCGTTAATTTGCACTAGGGTGGCTCGACAATATGTAAAGGGAAATGTAAAAATGAGAACAGTCACAGAATTGAGCTATTAAGTTGACTACTCTGCCCAGCTGGAAATCAATTACACTGTGCAGCATTTTTAGTGCTTTTTAAATTTACCTCGATGGATGCTATATTTTTGGATTCGTTACGAATTCCCAAGATAAACTGCGTTTTCAAAAAAGTTCCCCGACGCAAGGATTCTTAGCAAAAGGACCTCAAAGTTCGAAAAATGCAGCAATTGGCCAACTTTCGGGAGCTCTCAGAGGCAAACGGATTCATGGTTTGATTCGATGCTAAAGTTTTTTAAAAGATACCTTCTTTATATTTCAAACCCCATACTTAGAATAATTTTAGGATTTTTTTAAGGCAGAAATAGATTCCAGAAAACATAGTCAAAAAACTTAAAAACATACAGCTGCGGTCAAAATAGTAGTAGTGTTGCCGCCCTGTGTTTTTAAAAGTTTGTTGTTGTAGTTCATCTTCTTCTGGTGATATTGTATTGATTATAATTGTACTATTAGACTAATTGGATAAGAAAAGTGACAACAAAAAACTTTTAAAAACACATGACGGCAACACTACTACTATTTTGACCGCAGCTGTATACTTTTATGTTTTTTGACTATGTTTTCTAAAACTTGTTTCTCCCTTAATAAAAATCCTAAAATTATTCTAAGTATGGGGTTTGAAAGATAAAGAGTGTATCTTTTATAAAACTTTAGCATCTAACCAAACCATGAATCCGTTTGCCTCTGAGAGCTTTGGAAAGTTGGCCAATTTCGGAATTTTTCGAACTTTGAGGTCCTTTTGCTAAGAATCCTTGCGTCGGGGAACTTTTTGGAAAACGCAGTTTAACTTTGGAATTCGTAACAAATCCAAAAATATAGTATCCATCGAGGTAAATTTTTGATGCTGCATAGTGTTATTTGCCTTAAATTAATACTCAACAATACGATTGGAGAAAACAAAATAATAATAATAATGTAATTTCAAGATGGCAAAAATGTACACAATATAATAAAATTATTATTTGAATTAAACCTTTAAAATGTTAAAAATATTTTATTAAATATACAAAAATTTAATTGCTTAATGATTTTTTAGTTTCAACATATTAAAGTTGGAAATTTTGACTATGTTATATTCCTTCCAATAATTCGACCGAATAATATCTATAAAAAGATCAACCAATACCAGTATTTATTGATTTTCAAATGCATTTCCGTAAATGTTTTTTACTTATTTGGCACAGTTTAAGTGCTCTTGCGGCCAAAATGCTTTGAATTCCTCATAGATTACATTTCTTGCCAATAAATTCGGACCACCCTATTTATAAACCTTATTTTTTGACGTGTTTATCGTTATAAGACTGATAACACGGAAATCAATAGAACGACACTCAAACCGAGATACTAACGAGTTCTCTGTGCTCTCTTTCTCTTCTTTTCGCAGTGCCATACATCAGCGGCGACTCCATCCAGGTGATGAGCCACCAGGTGCAGAGTCGGTGGAACGAGACCTTGGTGTGGGCCACCAGGCACCAGCTGGGCTCCCGGCTGAGTCCCCTGCTGTGTGGCCTCCTTGTGGCCGCCTTCGCGTACGGAATTGTGTACTTGGACAGCGCAGTGCCCGGCGTAAATCCGCCCTCGCCCTTCTCGCCGCGTTCCAAGAAGCGGTAAGCTCTCGAGGAATTACCTTCCATATTCCACCACTCATACTATTAATTTCAATTGCAGTTTCCGCGATGAGAAGACCGCCTCGCTGCACTTGGGCTACTTGTGCGCCCTGTTCTGCGGATTTCTGGTCACGGCCTTCATGTACTTTGATCTGTACTCGTAGAACTGAATAGCCACTTCCTTCCACTTAGTCAAATAAGTCCACCAGTATTAGAATTTAATCGTCTACTTTGGAATTTGTATTTATTGTAGTCCCTGTAACAGTGCAATGCTCCCGGGAAGAATCACCTAGGGAGGCATTTTGAAGCTAACTTAGTTCCTAGGTATATCGTTCATAAGTTACTTACAAACTCTATAAATTATTCATGATTTCTGAACTACAAAAGTACAAAATGAAACATTTCACTGGTGATTTTGGGCCAGGACAGAGAAGCTTAAACTAGCATATTTCTATTTTGTGGAAAAAGTTGAATCGCCTGGCCCACAAATCACGGAAACTCTATATATATGGAAATACCTTACTAAAATATAATTACTTATGCACATTGTTTTGCATCAGAACATACGTTGTCACATTTTCGATGCGCATAAATTGTTGTTGCGAAAGAATATCGCTTACCTGGGCGATACTGAATATTTGCAGGCGATTCTCGCGAATAAAATGACCCACGAGATGAACAAAGCCGCCTGAAGATGGATCAAAAGTGGGTTCGAAAAGTTTGATTAGCAGACCTCTTCATCTTACCTGTGCTCCAAGTTTTCAAAACACCTTCGAAATCGTAATAAATGCCCTGGAGGATGGATTTCGAGCCGTCGTCACGCACGATTATAAGGTGTTCCCCACGTTTTCCCTCAAAAATGCGCAGCAATTTACCTGGAATTTTGAAAATTAAAATCGAATTTTTATATATTTTGAAATTTATAGGTAAAGATGTTTTAAGAAAATCCTTTAAAATAAATGTAAGGAAATGAAATTATAGAAAAACCAGAAAGTAAATTAAATTAAATCATTACCCACCGTAAACATTCCAAATGGCGTTTATATCTGGATTAATTTTGTGGGTTTTAAGACAGAAATCCACGCGACCGATCAAGCTTACAAGATTTCGTCCTGGCTTGGACATCGGGCAACTCGGCAACCCTGTTTTGTCATCCTTTTGGTCTGACACTTCGCAACGGGACTTTTCCTGGCTGCTCGGCGTTGGAATGTAGACAAACTCCTTTTTGGGTCGCATTTTGGGCTCTTCTTCCTCCGCAAAGCCATCGTACTTTAGTTTATTGTTTTTGCGACAGACACTTAATTTAGTTTGCCGCAATTGGCTGCTATTCTTGCGCAAAGCTTGAGCGGCCGTTGAAAAGCTGAGTTGCGAGCCATTATTGGCCAGTTGACCCTTGAACTTGGCCTGGTTGTTGGCCAGAGGGGTTCGGGGCTTGCCTGAAAGGGTAATCCAATCTTTGTATTATTTTAAAATAATTCATTTCTTTATTATACCTTTGGTGAACATTTCAGTGGAGATCAAATTGTAACGGCTTAATTCCAATTAGAGTGACCCTTCCTCAGTCTTTAAATTATGACAAAAATTTAAGAGCCAGTGCTGGGTAACGCCTATCAGTCTTTATTGCCACATTTCTGCAGATATCGATTCAATCGAATACATATCGATTACGGCTCCAACTGTCCACGCGAGAGTTTTATATTTTTATTTTTATATGCATATCTGTTGATAACTGGGGTTTTCTGTGAACCGGGGACAACTGCCAGCCAGCCATGAGCACAATTTTGGAGAAAATCTCGGCCATCGAGTCGGAGGTGAGCGGAAAATGGAGCACCTGGGCGATCGTACCGAAAACTAACCTGTCTCTCATCCACTTGCCCCGCGGATTCGGAATCCCCCTTCCCCCGGATTCCTCTTAAATCACCGGGTGTCTTGGATTTTCTTGGCTCCTTTGTAGATGGCCCGCACGCAGAAGAACAAGGCCACCTCGGCGCATTTGGGTCTGCTAAAGGCGAAGCTGGCCAAGCTGCGACGCGAGCTGATTTCCCCCAAGGGAGGCGGCGGCGGAACCGGCGAAGGTGGGTGCTCCAGCTCCCCTAGAAACCCCTTTAAATTAATCAAAATTCTCTCTAACCAGCTGGCTTCGAGGTGGCCAAGACGGGAGATGCCCGTGTGGGCTTCGTAGGGTTTCCCTCGGTGGGCAAATCCACCCTGCTCTCCAATTTGGCCGGCGTTTACTCCGAGGTGGCGGCCTACGAGTTCACAACGCTGACCACTGTGCCCGGCTGCATCAAGTACAAGGGCGCCAAGATCCAGCTGCTCGATCTGCCCGGTATCATCGAGGGCGCCAAGGATGGCAAGGGTCGTGGTCGTCAGGTGATTGCCGTCGCTCGCACCTGCAACCTGATCTTCATGGTGCTCGATTGCCTGAAGCCGCTGGGCCACAAGAAGCTGCTGGAGCACGAGTTGGAGGGCTTCGGCATTCGGTTGAACAAGAAGCCGCCGAATATCTACTACAAGCGGAAGGACAAGGGCGGCATCAACCTGAACAGCATGGTGCCGCAGTCCGAACTGGACACGGATCTGGTCAAGACCATTCTGTCCGAGTACAAGATCCACAACGCGGACATCACGCTCAGGTACGATGCCACCAGCGACGACCTGATCGACGTGATCGAGGGCAACCGCATCTACATACCCTGCATCTATCTGCTGAACAAGATCGATCAGATCTCCATCGAGGAGCTGGACGTCATTTACAAGATCCCGCACTGCGTGCCCATCTCGGCGCACCACCACTGGAACTTCGACGACCTGCTGGAGCTGATGTGGGAGTACCTGCATCTGCAGCGGATCTACACCAAGCCCAAGGGCCAGCTGCCCGACTACAACTCGCCCGTGGTGCTGCACAACGAGCGCACCAGCATCGAGGACTTCTGCAACAAGCTGCATCGCTCCATAGCCAAGGAGTTTAAATAGTGAGACCGACTTAATGTCTTGTTGCTTGTGCGGCTTTTCACCTTTTTATTCCTTTTCAGTGCGCTGGTCTGGGGCTCGTCCGTGAAGCATCAGCCGCAGAAGGTGGGCATCGAGCACGTTCTAAACGACGAGGATGTGGTCCAGATTGTGAAGAAGGTCTAGACTCTGTGAAACGGTTACACTCTGATTATTTGATGGCATTTTTTATTCGAAAATAAAAAACGAATGTGCTTTAGTTCTCTTTGGATTATTGACTCATTTCACTTAAAGCTACTCACGATACAAACAATTTGCAGCAAAAGTTTGCACAAATGTTTACAACTATGCCAATATTGCAAGAAAATTAATTTTTTTGTATGGATATTTCGTGGATTTACAAAAGAGATAAGAAAGGGGTTACCATTTTTTTCGCATGTCAGTGATTTCAATTTTGTATTGGAAAAGTAAAAAGCTACGTAACTAAACAAGACCCTGTAATGCGTCCTGCGATTCCTGCAAATGAGCGATTAGTCCTGACATTGCGTTTTTTAGCCACAGGTATGTAACATATTTAATTAACGTTTTTATGAACTTTTAATTAGTATGTAAATTGATGTAACTTAATTTTTTACAGGTAATTCATATCATCCTCTGATGTTTCTTTTTTGCATTCCTGTGAGTACGGTTGCTGTATATAAATGCCTGAAAAGGGAATATCTTAAAGTAAGAATGTAAATCATATATACATACATTTAATTTATTACCATCTGAAAGGCCAAGAACTGGCGAATTGGTAGACGAGTACACGTTATCAGGAGTGGAACAAGTAAAAGTGTCCTCGCTATCAATTTCCGCTACTTCTAAAATAGCTTTTTGAATTTTTCTGCGAAGCAGAAGTCTATTTTGGTGTGATTTCAACAATCTGAGCTCAGATGCAACGAAATCTCCAAACACCTGATGGTCATCCGCTGGCTTTCCGAGTAAGGCACTTGCCTTTTTAATAAGAAGATATTCGTCCTTAAGTACTATCTCGTTACATTTTCTTTTTTTTGCTTTCGATGTACTTGGTACGTCATCTGTTGTTAGTGACGAATTAGTTGGGCATGGTGCCTCTTCTGAGGATATTGTGTTAACGGCGCTTTCAATTAGTTCCTAAATATATGTGAAAAAGTGTGAAATAAAAATGTTAAACAAAATGTTAATAATTTTTGTTGAATTTTTTAGGTTTCCTAAAAATGCCATGGCAATATAAACATACATATACAAAATAAGTAATTACTACGATTCTATAAATTGTACTACTTACCAAATTTTGAATTTTAAAATTATTTCCGTCGTCATTTTTAATAAATTTAAGCGCATCGAAAAACTCCCATTTGCTGGTATAGTTGCCCGATGTACCTTGGCCACTCTTTTTTTTCTTCACTCTGCGCACCTCTTGCAAAAATTGAGTACGCAAATGATGAATTTTTGTTTTTATTTCATCATCACTTTTGTCTAATTTTTTAGCCATTTCGTGAAAAGCATTTTGCTTTTTATGTTTATTTCTATAGTCTGCTGACGAGACATCCCATAAAACGGAATAATTCTCGTACAATTCAATCAATTTTATCGTGTTCTCGCGATCCCACATGTTGCTGTGTTTGCTGCAATATTGCGACTACAAGCAAACAGCACACGCAAACAAGCAACCAAGATAAGGGTAAAATAATGTAAACAGATGACAAGCTAAAAATATTGCTGCAAACAAATTTTGCAATTTCTTTGTTTGCAGCAAAATGGTTGCACTCGTGAGCACCTAGCTTAAGAAAAGCTAGATGTATTAAAACGGGTTTTGAAGTAAAATTTTAGTTCAAAACTCTTTTGTTTCATATATTTGCAATTTTTCGGATTATTTTTTTTTCGAAAACCAACCACGAAAGTGTTTAGTACTTTTTGGATTCTGGACTGTTTTCAGTTTTAGTGGTGCCACAAATAGCTGACGGTTTTGAAGAGATAAGAAATAAGTAACGCACAGTTTATTTGTTTTGTATATTAGCAATTTATTTTAATTTATAACTGAAAGAGATAAAAACCAAAATTCAAAATATTTCATATACAAAAACTTAAAAAAAATACTTACCTGAACTAAATGGTTTAAATTTTTTAGTTTTTAAAATTATTTACGTAACACCAAGAGCTAAACCAGGAAATTTATTTTTTAACTAATAAAAAATTGAATTGAAATTATTATTGCTTAAAATATAGCTAGATTTGACGTGAAAAAGCTAAACTATAAGTGACTGTTAATCAACACTAACCCAAGGAGTAATCGATTCCCGATAGATATCAAAGAACGATAGCCCGATTGCCCTGGAATTAATAAATAGCACGCTGTTTTGTTATTAACTGAATTTTAAATAATTTAAGCGAAATGGTGGAGCTGAAGATGGGCGATCACAATGTGGAAGCCTCCGCCTGGGAGCCGGGCGACAGCAAGGACTGGTCGATGCCCATTAAGCCGCTGGCGGAGAAGTGGAAACTGGTGCCGGCATTCCTGCAAGTGAAGGGACTGGTGAAGCAGCACATCGATTCGTTCAATCACTTCATCAACGTGGACATCAAGAAGATTGTGAAGGCCAACGAGCTGGTGACCAGCGGAGCGGATCCCCTGTTCTACCTGAAGTACCTGGACGTGCGGGTGGGCAAGCCGGACATCGACGAGGGCTTCAACATCACCAAGGCGACCACGCCGCACGAATGCCGCCTGAGGGACACCACGTACTCGGCGCCCATCACCGTGGACATCGAGTACACGCGGGGCACGCAGCGGATCAAGCGGAACAACCTGCTCATCGGCAGGATGCCCCTCATGCTGCGCTGCTCCAATTGCGCCCTCACCGGGAAGTCGGAGTTCGAGCTGTCCAAGCTGAACGAGTGTCCACTGGATCCCGGTGGCTACTTTGTGGTGCGCGGCCAGGAGAAGGTCATCCTGATCCAGGAGCAGCTGTCCTGGAACAAGATGCTCACCGAGGACTTCAACGGGGTGGTGCAGTGCCAAGTGACCTCCTCCACGCATGAAAAGAAGTCGCGCACTCTGGTGGTGAGCAAGCATGGAAAGTACTACCTCAAGCACAACTCCATGACGGACGACATACCCATTGTGGTGATCTTCAAGGCCCTGGGCGTGGTTTCCGATCAGGAAATCCAGTCGCTTATTGGCATAGACAGCAAGTCGCAGAATAGGTTCGGTGCCTCCCTTCTGGATGCCTATAATCTGAAGGTCTTCACCCAGCAAAGGGCATTGGAGTACATGGGTAGGTTTCCTTACTTAACTCTAAAGAGTATCTCTCTTAATCGTTTTCATTTCTAGGTTCAAAACTGGTGGTCAAGCGCTTCCAAAGTGCCACCACAAAAACGCCCTCGGAGGAGGCCCGCGAGCTGCTGCTGACCACCATTCTGGCGCACGTTCCCGTGGACAACTTCAACTTCCAAATGAAGGCCATCTACGTGTCCATGATGGTGCGTCGTGTGATGGCCGCCGAGCTGGACAAGACGCTCTTCGACGATCGCGATTACTACGGCAACAAGCGACTGGAGCTGGCTGGCTCCCTGCTCTCCATGATGTTCGAGGATCTGTTCAAGCGCATGAACTGGGAGCTAAAGACCATTGCGGACAAGAATATACCCAAGGTGAAGGCGGCGCAGTTCGATGTGGTGAAGCACATGAGGGCGGCGCAGATAACGGCGGGCTTGGAGTCGGCCATTAGTTCCGGAAACTGGACCATCAAGCGATTCAAGATGGAAAGAGCTGGCGTAACGCAGGTGCTGTCCCGCCTGAGCTATATATCCGCCCTGGGCATGATGACGCGAGTGAACTCGCAGTTTGAGAAGACGCGAAAGGTGTCCGGTCCGCGATCCCTGCAGCCCAGTCAGTGGGGCATGCTGTGTCCCTCGGACACGCCCGAAGGCGAGGCCTGTGGGCTGGTCAAAAATCTTGCTTTAATGACCCATATTACCACCGAAGTGGAGGAGCGACCCGTGATGATAGTGGCCTTCAATGCGGGCGTGGAGGATATTCGAGAAGTGAGCGGCAATCCCATCAATAATCCGAATGTCTTTCTGGTCTTCATCAATGGTAACGTCCTGGGACTCACCCTGAACCACAAACACCTGGTGCGAAACCTGCGCTACATGCGCCGGAAGGGTCGAATGGGCAGCTATGTGTCCGTGCACACGTCCTACACCCAGCGATGCATCTACATCCACACGGACGGCGGTCGTTTGTGCCGCCCCTACGTAATTGTGGAGAAGCAACGTCCGCTGGTGAAGCAGCATCACCTGGATGAGCTCAACCGGGGAATCCGCAAGTTCGACGACTTTCTGTTGGACGGACTGATCGAGTATTTGGATGTGAACGAGGAGAACGATTCGTTTATCGCATGGAACGAGCAGCAAATCGAGGAGCGCACCACGCACCTGGAAATCGAACCCTTTACTTTGCTGGGAGTGTGTGCGGGCCTGGTGCCCTATCCGCATCACAACCAGAGTCCCAGGAACACCTATCAATGTGCTATGGGCAAACAGGCGATGGGAATGATTGGCTACAACCAAAAGAACCGCATCGACTCGCTCATGTACAACCTGGTGTATCCGCACGCTCCCATGGTGAAATCCAAGACCATTGAGCTCACCAATTTCGACAAGCTGCCAGCAGGTCAAAATGCCACGGTGGCCGTGATGAGTTACTCCGGTTACGATATCGAAGATGCCTTAATTCTGAACAAGGCCTCCATAGATCGCGGCTATGGACGCTGCCTGGTCTACAAGAACTCAAAGTGCACGGTGAAACGCTATGCGAATCAGACCTTCGACAGGATCATGGGTCCCATGAAAGATGCGCTCACGAACAAGGTGATCTTCAAGCACGACGTCCTGGACACCGACGGCATTGTGGCCCCCGGTGAGCAGGTTCAAAACAAACAAATCATGATCAACAAGGAGATGCCCGCGGTGACTTCGATGAATCCGCTTCAGGGACAATCCGCGCAGGTTCCCTACACCGCAGTGCCCATAAGTTATAAAGGGCCAGAGCCCAGTTATATCGAGCGGGTGATGGTCTCCGCCAATGCCGAGGAGGACTTCCTGATCAAGATCCTGCTGCGCCAGACGCGCATTCCCGAGATCGGAGACAAGTTCAGCTCGCGGCACGGCCAAAAGGGAGTGACGGGCTTGATTGTTGAGCAGGAGGACATGCCCTTCAATGACTTTGGCATCTGCCCGGACATGATTATGAACCCCCATGGCTTCCCCTCTCGTATGACAGTGGGTAAGACACTGGAGCTGCTCGGCGGAAAGGCTGGTCTCCTGGAAGGCAAGTTTCACTATGGCACTGCCTTTGGCGGGTCCAAAGTGGAGGACATCCAGGCGGAACTGGAGCGCCACGGTTTCAACTACGTGGGCAAGGACTTTTTCTACTCCGGCATCACTGGAACGCCACTGGAGGCGTACATCTATTCGGGTCCGGTGTACTACCAGAAACTGAAGCACATGGTGCAGGATAAAATGCACGCCCGTGCCCGAGGGCCCAAGGCGGTGCTCACCCGTCAGCCCACGCAGGGCAGGAGTCGCGAGGGTGGCCTTCGGTTGGGTGAAATGGAGCGGGATTGCCTCATTTCCTACGGCGCTAGCATGCTGATCATGGAGCGTCTGATGATCTCGTCGGATGCCTTCGAGGTGGATGTTTGCAGGACCTGCGGCCGGTTGGCCTACTGCTCCTGGTGCCATTTCTGCCAGTCCTCGGCCAATGTATCCAAGATATCCATGCCGTATGCCTGCAAGTTGCTCTTCCAGGAGTTGACCAGCATGAATGTGGTGCCGAAAATGATTCTGGAAAACTATTAATGAGATTGATTTGCCTGAAACCGAATAAAAAGTTTATTATTTTTTAGAGACAATATGTTTTGAACAAGCCTAAATGGTTTAAAGCTCCGCACATCAACAAGAATAAGTACTATATTGATTCTGTACGCCTAAAATCAAGTGAACTAAACTCCCGCAAGGATAAACAACCCTACATATTCATAAGGTGGCCGCGACCGAGCAGCAAATGTCAAAGTGAAGAGGTTCAAACGAAGTCAGCGGAAGAAAGTCCCTCTTGAATTTTAACGAGGTCCTGTTGAAAGCGTTGCTTTTCCTTAGCAGAGTTCTGTATGCTTACAGTCAGTCCTAAGCTGTTAGTAAAAAAGGTCTTAGCTGTGTAAAATCGCTCCTGTTATCGCCTTTTTAAGGCGCGAAGGATAATTAGTTTTGTCTGCTTTTTGTTAAGAAGCAGCTTAGGTCTAATTTAAAACGTCTGTGCCGGCAAAAAACGATTAATAAACAACAAGCAAGCTGTTGAATAGAAAATTTGTTTTTTGTGGAACTCGACCTTTTTAACCTTGTTATTATGTTTAGTTTTGTATTATTAATAAACGGGGTTTTTTGTATATAATTTAATTTAAATATATGTTGAATGTTACTTTTTCGTTTAGTAATCAAAAAGGTGTTTCCTTGAATGGTTTTAAAGTTAACTTTTTATGATCAGTACAAAGAAATTACAATTGAGTGGCAAGTTAAATTGCTCCTTAGTCGTCCATGAGGTAAACGATATTGCCGCCTGTTGTTGATTTATTGGCTTCCCCTAGCATTGGCATATTGCCTTGGCTCACCGTGGGGCAATTACCTGTCACCTGGCTGGTGAAGCCTCAACCCAGATTCAGGCCGATGTGTCAACGTCTCCGTGGTCAATGCACCGCGGTGCATGCACGTGACCTGCGAACTGTTTGCGACACAGCCACCCGCACAAGCCAATGTCCTTGTGCGTCCTTTCAAGTGACCTGCGCTTAAAATAGTCCCAGCCCCCACTCGGCACCTCCCCCCGCTGCTCCCTTTGTTGGATCTGTAGTTACTATATGCAGTGCAATGGCAGCAAACGGGGCAAACTGCCAGCAGCAGAAGGAGCATCTGAGGAACCGATGGTGCGCACTAGGATGACAATTTAAGGCTGCCCCCGTCTCCGATCCCCCTCCCCCTTTTATGCCCACCTCCTTTCCGGGCTATTCAGTTCCGTTATACACAGTAAAAATTCATAAGAGGTGGATATGGGAAATATACAATTCCGACCCATATACCAAAATTTATATCGATCCGGTAAGAATTTCGGTCCCCAAGTTGGTTTGTATAAAGACATATCATGGGTGGAATTAAATAGTTTTGATTGGTTTTTAGTATTTTTGAAATTTGAAGACAAATAATTAAGATTTTTTTTATTTAATTTTTAATACATTGGGATGCATTAATTGTAATGCTCCTGCCAGGAATCTTCGTACCTTGCTACCATTTCCTTGTATTAGATTCAGCTGAAGAAGGAACTGTTAAGGAAAACCCTTAGGGAATATTTGTTAATTAATATTCAATAATAGATTTAAGTTAAGCAATTGTAGTAAGATGTAGCCAGATAAGGATTTATCCATTGGCGATAAATAAATGAATAAATAAATATTTGTTGAATTTAAAAAAATGTATTAAAATTTTTCTGGAAATAATTCAATGTTATATCAACAAATATTTTTAATTTTCCCCCGTGCACAAACTCAGTTCATCTCAATCTGGGGCCACCTTCCGGCTTTGGCTTTCCTTTCATGTATTTTGGCCATTTGTCAAAAGTTTGCTTTTTGCTCTTCTTTATCTGGACGGTTCGTTGATGTGTGCATAGCAATAGATGTATATAGATTTAAATGGGTGTTGGCCACTTGAGTAGAAAGTTAAGCGTTGTCTAACTGCTCTTTTGGGCGGGTTCCAAAAGGGAAAAGGACACTGGATTGACAACACCGGATGTCATTGGGCTGATAAAATGGGTACCGGGGCCCCATGGACCAATTGAAACCTAATGCACCTTTTGATTGAAATAAAGATTAGTGCGAGGCTTAGATTCCTCATTTCCCCATTGAAGACCAGTAAACTTTGCCGTCAGGATTGTTCTAGCAAGCTCCTTGTGTTTCCTAGAGCCTGGCCTACAGGAAAATGTTATCAACATAGTCCGCAGAGAGGACGAGTTTTCTCGGTCTTTGTTTATCCGCTCTTTTGTAAACTCTATGGTTTCTTTTTTTAATTTCTAGAATTGTTATGTCACAAAAGTAAATTTTAAACATTTTCTTTATTTTTTGTTGTTTTTTTTTAATAAAATATTATTAACAAGAAATTTCTAAACCTATTTTTAACTTTTCCTATCTTCAAATTATTGTAAATAAGAAAATATTTAAGAACAGGAACGCATTTATTTGTAGATATATTTCAATATATTTAACAGATGTATTAAAGAATAGTGTAAACAGGTACCAAAATATATATTAAATATTTAATAGAAGAAAAATATATTAAATATATTTAACATATGTATTTAAGAATAATATAAACGGGTAACGAAAAATATATATAATATTTATTAGAATATATTATTAAAATAGAATGGAATAAAGAAATATTGAGCATTATTTGAATGTCAGCTATGAGAACGTTTAACATTTGACGGTTCCGATAACAGAGTCCTCTCAGTCCTCGTGTATATATATATATATATATAGAGTGTATAAAAGCAAGTGCCTTTCTCAGCTCACGCTCATTTCAAAACCGGCGCTCTTCGCATCGAAAGCTCCGCTGCGGAGCCGAGAAAATACATTTAATTCCTATTTGAAGTGCAGCTTGCGGGCAGGAATTTCATGTTTGTTTGTTTAAATTTAGAGTGCCAGTGAGGTGTTGCAAAATCAAGCAGAAATCAAGAAAGGCGCTAAAAAAATCATCAAATGTTCGGAAATTAAGCGTGGAGATCAAGTGCATAGCTAGAGTGAATTAATAATTTAGTTGAACCAAACAAAGCAATGGAGACGAATGCAGGGAACTCGGGCGACTCCAAAAAGCCTTTCAAAGTGAGTTTATGAAGTGAATAAAATAACATAAAGGCCACAGACAACAATGAGACTTTAAGCATGCATTATTTTCCTGCCATGCCCTTTTTGGGCGTTGTTATTCTCGCTTTTGTTGTTGTTGGCCGCGTGCTGTTTTTTTTGTTCTTTATCGAAACTGGGTTGAACTTCAAGTTGCTCTGGGCAAAGAGAAATTGGCCTAAGAGAGCTGAAAGCTCGGATTAAAGAGTGTGGCGAAAGCTCAGTAATGTGCCATTACTGTCTCAATTTTGACTTTGCAAAATCAAAATGATTTTCCTTTACTTTTTTATTTGTCCTTTTTTATTATACTTTTTTTTCGTTTTTTATCTGGATTTGTTTGGTTTTATTTGGCTTTTTCATTCGAGTATTGGGAATTGTTTGCTTTTGGCATTTGTTTTACTTGTCTGCTGGGCCTTTGTTTCCCAACTAATTTGTTTATCTGCCGCTTAAACAGCAGAAAACTGTTTAAAGTACTTACAGGATTTAAGAAATATCTTTTAGCTTGCAAAAAGGAAAAACCACAAGGACTACAGGCAGTTGACAACTGAACACAAACCGAAGAAACCACAGGGCTATTTAAGTTGTCTGTGGAACACGGAAAACAACTTTTGTGAAATATTTCCGGAGATAACCTCGAAAATCTGCCCATTATATCCATTAAAATGTCGCTGCTTATTAAAATAATTAATTCAGAAACCACCAAACACAAATCGGCTTAAAAGCTGTCAAATACCTCGACAGCCATGAAAATGCCATTAAAAAGGGAAAACTTTTCATCCCGACATGTCGCTGTAATTAGCCAACGGCCACGCCCACGCCCCGCCAAGCATTTTGTTAATAATTTATTAAACAATTTACATAATGCCAGGGCATAGTTGGAAAGCAATTTAAAGTTGTCGCCTAATTTCCCCAGCGACTCGAAAATCTGCGGCCTACGCCCATCAAATATTTAAAAGTCCTGCGACTTGTGGATCCTGCCTGGTCTAAGATGCAGATGAATAGAGTCCCTGGCACGTATCCTTCGGCTGACTTTGGCTGGAGCCAGACGTCGGAGGTCGTTGCACGTTTGGCCCAGGACCCTGGGGTCCTGATGGCTGAGCAGCTCGAGTTAGTTGTGATTTAAAAGCCTTCATTTGGAAATTATTCAACCAATCCGTTTAAATCGGTTTAGCATACTGTTGGTCATCTTTAAAAGCACTCCTGAAATCAAAGGCTATATTGTAGCTATAATTTTCTGAAATGGTTTAGGTTCTTAGACTAATATCAATATTTTTACCAAGAAAAAATCCAAAAAAATAATATTTGTGATTTTCTATTCTGATTAAATTTTGTCATTGGTTATTATTTTTTGGTAGAAAAAAGTTTTCTGATTTTCTCTTTAAATAACATGACAGCTCGAGTTAGTTGTAATTTAAAAGCCTTCATCTGGAAATTATTCAACCAATCCGAAAGAATCCAAAAAAATAATATTTGTGATTTTCTATTCTGATGAAATTTTGTCATTGGTTATTATTTTGGTAGAGAAAGGTTTTCTGTTTTTCTCTAACATGTGACTTTCGATGGTTTCTTTGCCCTAAGAATCCTGATTTTCCAACAAAACTTTGTTGTTTGCAATAAAACCTAAAAACATTCCTGTTTACTACAATTTCTAGACTAATCATCGTTTCTTTTCTGCATTTTGTTGAACAACTTTTCAAAACCTGTTTATTTTCCGACAATCTTTCTTCGACTTTGTTGAGGTATCAGGCATTGTATTGTTTTGAGGATAATTAAATAAACTGCTAATTGAATTGCAACCGCCAGCGAAAACGACAGTTCTTCCTGCGAAAATCTACTAATGCGATCGACTAAAAGTTCTGACAAGTTTCCGAACAAAAACTATGCTTTTGTTTTCGATGCCGCCGCGTCTCCCACTTGTCAGTTGCTTCAGTGGTTCCCAGAAGTTTTCATTGTTGCAAAGTTTCTGCCCCCATCATGATATGATTAATATTTGGCGCTTGCGAGGCAGAAAAGTTGGCTGGCTTTAAGCATTTATAAGATAATTTAATGGCGACCTCTGCGCTGTCTGGGGAAACGGAATGACGGAGGAGCTGGGAACGGGTGAAATAAAATGTTCGAAATGCAAACTCGAGTACAATTTCATTTAGTCACGGCCCGTTCAATTATTTATGAAGGACCTCAAGGAGTTGCACGTTGCCCGGCGTTTCGGGGCTATAAATTCTGGCAGAAGTGCAGCCGTGCCGTTGCTCCTTTAATATCCATCTCCTGGCTACTGCTCCTTTGGCTCCTAGCCAGGTCTAATTTATGTTTCGTTTAACCTTAGTGCTGAGGCATCATTTAACATCGCATGCAAGTTTAATAGAGCCTGGCAAAGACTGCGTCCTTGCACACAGCTCTAACTTATGGCATTCGCGAAGGAGCATGCAGCATGAAAAACGCTGACATGCATAACTTGTCACACAAAAAAGGATGTGTGGGACAGGGGGAATAAACTACAAATATTTGCACCGCAGTCGGGAGAGTGCATGTCAAACTGCGTTCGAGTTCTTGAGATAGAAGTGAACACACAAAGCTCAGCATTCGCATTTGAAATATGCACAAAGCCGGCTTGTGGGCGGCACTTTAAGGTGACATCCCTCCCGGGGCATGAAACCAGTCCATAAATCTCAATTAGAGCAAATGGACATTTGACAGCAGGACATGACGTGCTCGCAAATATTCCGTTCATTTATTCATTGTGATTTTTCGGCGAAATGGAAAACAATTTCACTCGAAGCGAAGTGGATTATTATAATTATAATTATTTTCTTTGCTTACTAAAATTTAAAAAGGAGATTGGAAATTAAAAAACCAATAAAAATAGATAGAAAAGAAAAGAAGAAAATCGTAGTAAATAAAGTCAAATATAACTAGAATGAAAGTTTGCAGTTTCTTCATTCAGTTCACGTTGTTGTCGCAAAAAAAAGGGTTTCAACCCAAAGTAAATTTACAACTTTTCCCATTTCTGTATCTTTCCGTTTTTATTTTGGGTGCCGACGATGTGAATATTTTATAGGGACACAGTTGCTTCCCTTCTGACATTAATTTATTATTCATTTGATGAGCGGGGCCATGTGTAACTGTTACTGCTGCTGTTTCCGTAATTGTAAACGTATAATGGTTTATTATTCCCTTTCTCTGCTACGTTTTTTGTTTGGTTTTTTTTACGGCCAGGTCAAGGACGTAACACGCAACATCAAGAAGGCTGTCTGCGCCTCCAGTCTGGAGGAGATTCGCAGCAAGGTGGCGGAGAAGTTCGACAAGTGCGACCACCTGCCCACCATCCACCTGGACTCCGATGGCACGGAGATCGACGACGAGGAGTACTTCCGCACCCTCGACGAGAACACGGAACTGGTGGCTGTCTTTCCCGGAGAGCATTGGATTGATGTGAGTTGTTTAAATAACCCAAATTGATTGTGACTTCATTGTCCTTTTGAAAAGTTTCTCTTTCATGTTCATGAATTCTATTAATATTCAAAAACAATTAATTTCTTTCTTAAGAGTAAAACCCAAGAAAAAACTTGATATGAAACGATGATCGATTTGATGATATGTGGTATCAATTTCGAAATGTTTAAAATTTAAGCAACAGGCCAGTTCGAATTTCGAATGTGGTTTCTCCCTTTCACTCACTCATTTTAAGTCGAAACATTGCTCCTTTCTTTCTTTTTCGGAGTAAGAGAATCTCCGAGTGAGAGACGATATGCGTATGCAATACCACAAATTTACCATGCGCATATCGATTTGACCCAGTGGCGGATCTAGGATTTTGTTGTGGGGGGTGATATCAGAATAAATTTTTTGTTCCATAATTTTTGAATAACAAAATTCCTTTCATTTTTTACCCGAGTGGGGGGTGATATATCACCCATATCACCGCCCGTGGATCCGCGCATGATTTGACCGATACGTTTTTTTTTGTGTGTAATACATTTTCTTCAAAGCAATTTAAGCTCAAATTTAAATGTTATATTTATATATTTATCTTAGGGATCCCATTTACATTAATTTTAATCATTTTACTGAATTCAATTAGAGATTAGAGTGCTTTTTTTCTCCAAGTGAATACCACTTAATTGGATAATTTATTTTATTTGTCCCTCCTTTTATCCGTCATAATGACTAATTGCATTATCCCATGGAACGCCATGGACGAGCTTCGTGGGCAAGGAAGCGAGGCCAGAGAGATTAAATTAAATGCTATCTGCTTTTTGTTTATAGCCCACACACTACGTGACCATAACAACTCCACATGGCAACGAGGTGGCAACTGGAAACGGGGATTCCGTACCCGGAGGCGAGGGAGACACCACCGATGCGAACAACTCGGAGTCGGCTCGCATCCGGCAGTTGGTGGGTCAGCTGCAGAACAACCTCTGCAACGTGTCCGTAATGAACGATGCCGACCTGGACTCACTCTCCAACATGGATCCCAATTCGCTGGTGGACATCACGGGCAAGGAGTTCATGGAGCAGCTCAAGGATGCGGGAAGGTGGGTTAATACCTTTCTTATAACGAAATAAATTAAATAATATTATTTGTTCTCCCTTTAGACCACTTTGTGCCAAGCGCAATGCCGAGGATCGCTTGAATCTGCTGAAACTCCTGAAGGCTGGGGCCATTTTCTGCTCGGAACGCTATCCGGAGGATGCGGAGGCCATCGACCGGGAGATCGGGCGCCAGCTGAACGAGGCGGAGAGTGGTCAGATGAGCACCACGACAACCAGCAATACGCGCACCATCGAGGTGGTGCAGTGCGACAATCAGAACACGACGATAACGATTACGGTGGGCGAGGCCACCACCACTTGCTCCGCGGCCAGCGCAGCCCTGGGATCCTCCGCTGCCGAGGCGGCGGCCAATGAAGCCAATGCCAATCCGAACAGGAATCCAAACGCCAACGGAGACATCTGACTGCCCATCTTGGGCAGCCTTAGGTGAAGTCTGCCGGCGGAGGACTAAAGCATGTGGAGATGGGAATTAAAAATCAAAATCAAAATCAAGATCCATTGGGATATACCGACGACATCAGTCCTGCAACATTGGGTTAACATAAATCGTATTTGTAGCATGTAATTAGGCGATGCGAAATCAGCAAGCGGAACGAAGACAAAATCAAGCGAAACAAAGTCACAGAGAATGCTTCATAGTATCTAAGAGCAAATGAAAGTTAACGAACAATACACGTATTAGATTTAAACACCAAGGCCAGGAGTTCAGGCGGTCATTCGCAGAGTCTTTTAGCAATCACAGTCAAAGGAAACGTATTTAACCGTATATACACCAGCCACACCAAGCCGTACTAGATGAGTAATGATATTAATCAAAGGTTAGCGAACTAAGTATTATATTCGAGGTAGAACCCCAGGCGTAGGCTGGAGTACCAGATTTAACCCGCGTTGAGCCCGAATATGGATAGGGGCACTGTTGATTTGCTTGCCGTGTAAATTGTGTTACGATTAGTAGGTAGAATTGGAAACGCACATCAAAAATTGTTTTTAGACCAATGCCATTGTGAATGTCATTCGTTAAAGGCCAATTGAGACTGACTGTATTTATGTGTAATAGGTTTTTTCGTGGTTTTGAGCGGTTCGGGACAGATGCCCTGTCCTCCCCCCTCCCCGCCCCCCGGATCTATAGCCAAATGAATTTAAGCCAACAACAGCAAACATTGTTAGCGAATTAAACAATAAAAGAACACAATAACGGAAAATGCAATTGCCCCATTAAAGTCGGTAACTGTCTACAATTCGAATAAGCAATAGGGGAAGTCGTAAACGAAAGCGAAAACCGAAAGGCGAACGGAAAACAATTATTAAATATAGTGAAACGCATACAGCAATTCCAAAAAAGAAAGAAAGTACCCCGAGGCAAACTATATACACGAAACCAAGAAATAAATAAATGAATATTAAACCAAAGTTGACTGAACTAACCTTGCTGGCGAACGGGGCGTATGCGCAACGTACAAAGCGTGTGCAACAGGGCGTATGGAATGCATCCTGCTCTTCCGCTGGCAAAAGAGAGTTATTTTCCTTTTCTATTTACAGAGAGCGCAAGAGTGGGAGTCCTGCTTCTGCCTTCTAATTGCATTACTCGACGCCATTCTCTTCTGCATTCGACTTCCTTCGTGACGTCACTGCCCCATGACGTTTGCAGGTCCTGGCAATGCGAGCTGATTGCGATGCCCCACTAACACAGTTCAAAGCTCCCGGGTGACCCAAATTCGTGACGACAGCAACTCACTGCAGCGCCCCCTTTTTGTGGGCGTGGCCCTGGCTTTGATGAATTGAATTCACTCCCTTTGCCCTTTGTATACCTAATACCCCTTATTAACGCCGTAAAACTTTTTTTTTAGCTTTTCTTTCCCTGGCTGCGCTTTTAATTTGTGCTCTTGGCAAACCCCGTCCTATTTGGTTGCGTTTGTTGGGTAAAAGGAAACAGGACGAAATCATGGAGCGGAAAGGGCACAAAAATATTAAAAATGTAACTTAAAACCGCACGTTTGTCGCCTGCTTTTGACTGCTTTGAAGTGCGACGGCAGTTGGTGGTCCTGGCCAAGAAATTGTCACACACATACTTACTCGCATTTCTTTTGAAGTTTTCTTTGCTTTTGATTAGGGAAATTGCTGAAGATTTAAATTAAAAGTTATTCGAAACCAATCAAAGTTTTTTTGAATTTGTAAATGGTTTTTATATGACTGCGTTACACCAAAAAGTATGTTGGTAAGCGCTTAGGAACCTTTGGCTGTACACGTAGTGACTAGCGCGAGGGGACTAAAATTGAAAATCTGCTAAGTCCGATCACCTTAAGTGATACACCGATCGAAAGGTACTATTATTCCCTTCAAATTTTGGTACTGGAAAGTTTTTTAATTTTTTCTATATTAAAATACTTGCCGAGCGATCCCAATAATGTCCCAATCGGATCACTCGTTCAATAGTTATTCATGTTTCATGATTTGTTGGACACTTTCAAATTGTAACCCAAATGTGTGTTTGTCCGGAAAATTTAATGTTTTGAGATCCTTCTATCATTGATTTACCACTTTTGAAAAAACTCGCTTATTTAGCGAAAAAACATTAAAAAAAGGTATACAGGATCGAATTATTCTCATTTGTCACACTAAAAAACAATATCTCTGTAAAGCTGAACAATTTTAAGGAAGTGTGCCGAGCGAGAAACATTTTAATTGTTTTTTTATTTAATGGATCGTACAATAAATATTCGTTTAACAGTAGATATCAGAACTTTTGAATGTTGAAGGTACGATCGTCCCTATTTTTGTACCTCGTTAAGAGGTGTTTTTGCTTGATAGATTCTGAGAGCTGAAACCTCCAATTACACGTAAAGGAATTCCTTAACGTTATAAATTATAAGTAAACGTGAACAATAAAATAGGATCTACAAATGGATTTTAAATATTTAAAAATGATTGTCGCCTTTTGTTGTAGTTGGGACAATGAGATATCTATAAACACCATGTACGAACCACTTTAATGTATAATTTTGGGCACCATTTAAGAGTTTAAAAATATTTTCAATTTTAGGATTTGTAGTTTTCCTATAACTTGTTGATAACTCTTGATTTCCTTTGACATTTTATAGCTTTACTCAACAACCAATAGTGGATTTCAATGGAAGTGAAATCAGATTTCCCCACTTTATTCGAAGCTTGTTGCTTGCACATACAAACAAACAATCTATCCTCTAAGCACAAATGTCAAAAGATTCACAACAATGAGGCGGCAGTGGGCAGGGGGCGTGGCCGGGTAAACAACATATCGAGTGAAGTCTTGCTTGGCTCGGCTAACGAGTCGCTTTTCTCCCGAACGAGGACATAATTCTCTACAATTTTTGCTGCTTGCCTTTTTTTTATATTTTTATTTTGCACACAGTTCCCCCAAATAAATGTCAAGGATAGGGTAGCGAGGGGCCAGAGTGTCCTTAGGAGAGGGAGGAGGGGCATTGAAGGGACTTGCTGCCTCAGGCTGTTGATTTTTATTTGAGAGCATGTGTGTGTTGCACATAAACAAGACGCTGTGTAATAGATGCCGCAATGGGCATTACTAATGCGCCCCGTGGCACTTTTCGCCCATACACACATATGCGAGGGCGGGGCAGTCAGCGGGTCTTGTGGGCGGCGAGGGCGGTCCATAATTGTGCAGTTAGAGCCGCTGGCAGCCGCAAACTGGTGCTTAGATTGCCTCATTTGGATGTTTGCTTTCGCCACCCGGAAGTCATTACGGGTGCGGATATGGGTATGCGCACCTACACAAAAAAAAAACATTATCAAGGAGCAATTATTGAGTATCATTTAATTAGGGAGGAAAATGTAAGTAAGTAATTTTAAAAGTGATTACAAATTTTATTATATTCAGAAATGCTGTTATTTTGTTAAAAATAAATTTTTTTAAATATTTATTATTTGTTGGTTAAAGTTTTACGATTGCTTGAATTAAAGGCCTGGAGTATAACCTTGATGAAAAGTTAGTGCTTAGTACACCCCAACCAAACTTGATATGAAACAACGATCAATTTGTTTGTGGTATAAAATTTGACTTAATAATATCAAGTTGATATGCTTGAAATGTTAAAAACATGTTATAAGTAGGCCAGTTCGACTTTCGAACGTGTCTTTCTCCTTCCCACTCATGACTCTTTAATCGCTCTGTTTCGAATTAAGAAAATTAGTTACTCTCGTATATTGCTTAATGCTCTCTTTTTCGAAATCAGAAAATCTCCGAGAGGGATTAATTGGTATTGTATGGTTAAAACGACATCCGTATAAATACCAGAAACTTACGATTTGATCCTGGCGTGTTTTATTTTGTGTGTAACTATTATTATAAAATATAAAATGTTCTTTGGTTATTTATTACTGTCATATTTTGTTTTGAGTGCAGTAGTCCCCCAGCCTGAGAGCCAGCTGCCAGTGATGAAAATTTAAGTAACTTTGGCAAATACAAATATGAAATTAACCATTTTGTTTATCGTGATGCACTTGCTGGTGCTGCTGGCCATTCGGGCGAACGACCTTCCGCTGGATCAGCAGGCGATGGCAGCCCGTCTGCAGGAGCTGCAGAGGGAGGTAGCCCATCCGTGGAGCACCCCATGTATACGCAATTGCCTGGCGGAGAAGGGCAGCCTGGTGGATCGACCAGGCGAATGTCAGCAGGCCGTGGAGCAATTCGACTGTACACTGTACTGCATGTTTGAGGCCGAGGCGCGCTATTAAGCCATAAAGTGTGAGTGCAAATACGCGCAGGCTGGTTAACCATTAAACCAATTATAGCCACCCCCGCACGCGCATAGGTATGCAGGTACGAGCCAATACAAAACGCGTTCGACATACAAAATAATTAAGTATGCCATTAAGCGGGAATGTAATTGCTCGTTATATACATTCCGGCGAGGCCAACGTCAGTACTTGTTTTCTTTCATTATTTTCCATTTCACATTTATTTTAATTTAATTAAAATGTTTGGCCCGCATCGAAAGGAGATTTTTTTCCATTTAATTTCATTTAGACTGCTGACAGCAGGCGCAAATATTTGCCGTTTACCCGCTCCGCTTGCGTTCGTTTTGACGAGTTTTTTGGCGAAAAGTGCCACATATCCATGGCCAGTCTCGAAATTCGAATACCAAAGGTCCGGCCAGGATCAGGGGCCATTAATCATCGCCACATGCGACGAGCGTGACCTTTGCGACGACATGTGAGTTAATTAATCTAACTGCCCAGACTGCGAAGGTCATGCATCGCAATTAAACATGGCAGCTGATGATGAAGGGAATCTTCCTCACATTCACCTTGCTGCCCAGACGCATAAATTTCAATTTGCAACACCGTCTATGCATTTAAATTGATGGTTCTCTCCTGCTGCTGCTGCTGTTTCCACTGCTGCATATGCGAAAAGTTGTTCGCGCCGCGCTCCAATGCGCAATTAGCGGACCGCGGCCCATAAATTATTTGACCCGCCGCCGGGGAAAATGGGAAATGGAAAATGGCGGGCGGAAATGATTGCCCAGCAGGGCGAATAAACAGATGAGCTATGCAAAAACCCCGCCCTTGGAGGTAAAATATTCGCAACGGGCGGCGTGACAATTGAAAGGCAGGGCTTAAATGCGTAAACGAGATAGCGCCGCCCAAAGATGTATTATTATTATCCATCACGTGACTGCAGCGAAAATCACGTGTTCATTGTTGGCCATCGATGTTGAATGCCGGCAATCAAATTAACCTTGGCTCGCACGGCGTATGCGCAATATATCTGCATTTTAAGCCCAGCTCGGTTATAAATATGGCCGTGCGGTTTTGTTTGCACCCAAAGCGAACAAATTCGATCAGCATGCAGCGGGGGAATCTCATGAATTTTAAACATTCAATTCCCAAAACACAAAAAACATTCCGCCATGCAAATGCCAATAAATCTCGGCTTTTGTCTCGCCCTCGAAAGCAATGCACCTTTGTCGAAACTTTTGCCTAGGTCTCGGCCCTTTAATTATGCAGCCAGCAGTAGTCTCATTATGCCGAAGTGACATTTTTCAGCTGCCCGCCGGAGTTTTGGCCCAAATTGCAAACTTTATTTTATTGCATTTTTAAACTTTGCCCTTACGCGCCGAAAGTTCAGGCTGAAATATTTATATTTGCCAGCACGCCCCGCTTTATGCATATATATATATATACATATTTATATACAGAGCTGTTTGTCTTGGGTTTTTTGTGGTCCCGCCTAAGTTGAACTATTTGCAGCTGCTCCAGTAAACTTTTCCCACTTCACAGGTCATGGAGTCCCGTCCCGATCCCAGACCAAAGTTTCTTCCTCCGTAGACCCTGTGTTCTTTGGGCCCGGCACGCCCAGCGCGTTGGCCTGGCTAACTGGATAACAGCATCTTAACAGAATCCGCTCTCTCTCTGCTTTTTTGGTCCTGCTCTCACGGCCAAAGCTCGGCGAAGGTTAGACTTTGCTGTGTGTTTGCAGGACCTCCTGACTTTGCGCCGTGTGTTTTTGCGCTGGCCGAAGCTGTCGGCAAATTCGACGAGTCCTGGCTTGTTTAAATACAGCACGCACAGACGTCTGGCAATTTATTCCAAGTTCGGCCGGCTTTTGTTGCACTTGGCTGCTGTGAAGTGGCCGCTCGCGATCTGAACCCAAATCGCGTACTGTAATTATCGGCAACTTAATGGTCGGAAGAATGTGAAGAATTCGGTTCTTAAAAGTTAGAGTGCAAGGTAATGAGAAGTGAAATAGTTTGTTAAAAACTCAGTGAATATGGGTAAAAGTACTTTTAATTAAAAGGTTCTCGGGCTAGTTATTATTACAGACTAGTTTACAAACAACAATTCAACAAGTCATTAAAATACGTATAAATAATTCGTAAATATAAGATTGCTTAATTTAATATATGTTATGTTGACTTTTTATGGATTATGGCCTTTGCTAAAAAATATGTATGAATTTAGAATATCAGTAAAAATAAAAGGTAAATAAGTAAAAGTAAAAAAGAAGAATGTGCCAAAATAGCAAGAAATCCCACCCTTTAAGATAAAAAACACCTGGAGTGATTAAAAATCCAAATTGAAACCCAAACTGAATTACTTCAAATTTGGTCAAAAAAATAAAAAAAACAAGAGGGAACGTTATAGTCGGGTGCCCCGACTATCAGATACCCGTTACTCAGGTAAAGGGAGTGCGAGGGAGATGGAGATAGAGATAGAAAACGTTGATCACGCATAACTTTTTAACGAATGGTCCGATTTGAAAAATTTCTTCTACATTTCGATAGGTATTGATAAACACAATAAAACTGCATTTTTACTTTTCCAAAATATTAAAATTTTTAAAATCGTATATAAGCGATGGTGGGCGTTAGAGGGGCGTGGCACCATTTTGAAACAAACTTGCGCTGCGTAGGAATTCCTAGAATCTGCATGCAAAATGCCAATCTTCTAGCTTCTATAGTTTCCGAGATCTCAGCGTTCATACGGACAGACGGACAGACAGACAGACGGACAGACGGACAGACGGACATGGCTAGATCGACTCGGCTAGTGATCCTGATCAAGAATATATATACTTTATGGGGTCGGAAACGCTTCCTTCTACCTGTTACATACTTTTGCACGAATCTAGTATACCCTTTTACTCTACGAGTAACGGGTATAAAAATAAATAAATCTTGTTATCAATATCAATATTAAATGCAATCTAACGTACACCACTTAAAATTAAACTAATGTACGAATATGTTCCAAACACATTTTGTTCAAAAGGAATTTCTCTATTTGCGTGGTCTTGAAATACAACCATTTTAGCAATTGAAAAACTTTTTTAAATCAAAACCGAAACCAATGCCAAACAACGATTTCGTTATACATTTTCTGTTCAATGCTAACAAGCTACATACATATCTGAAATAACAATAACACAAAGTCTGGCAGTTTTATTATGCTTGCTTCAGCGGCTTTGCAGCATCCCCGAATGCCATACAGAATATTTCAATTATCGTTTAAATTTGTTTTGCTTGTCATAAATCTCTCGACCATGCTCTTCTACTAGTGCAGCAAGGAGTCCAGACAAGACGTGCCAACTTTCCAGGCGAGCATAATAGATGACAGAAATGAATGCGGATGAGACAAAGACGGCTGGAATGCCAGCGGCAGCAAAGGAGGCGGAGGAGGAGGTAGCAGGTCCTGAAGATGGAGATCCGGAAACCAGAATAGTGGCTCCTCCGCCCAGACAGCGGACTCTAACACGCACGGCCGAAATGGAGGCGGACTGCGAGGACATCGAGCTGGATGCCGACGTGGACGATGCGGCGGATAGCATCACCTTGGAGTTGGCCCTGTCGCCACACAGCAGCACCACGCCCACTCCGTCGCCCACCACCGCCGACGAGGACTTCGCCCAGCTGGACAACAGCAAGCCCTTCAAGGTGGGTATTCCATTCGCACATCCTTTGTGGCATTTAGCCACGCTACCTGCTCACTGTTAACTGGGCCAGCATTTCGTTAAGTGATTACTGCGGCGCTATTGTTACGCTTGTTGGCTGTACGAAAAAAAATACAGCAAAAAAAGAAAACACTGAAAATTGAGGTAAAAAAGTTCGACGGTCAGGGCGAACAAAGTGAAGGGTTCCCCGACGGAACGGCCACTTCAAAGCCTTCGGCGTTGAGTGGCATCATCGACATCGGCACTGCTGTTGAAGTGTTGCTGCTCGGTGCTTTATTCGCCCTTTAAGCATTCGCCCAACTTTTCAATCCGCTGTGGAAGCTGGTGCGGGAGAAATTCCGGGAAAACAGAGCTGTTTCCCTGCCTTCGATCCCTTTTCCCTTTCACCATGGCCAAGCTCTATTTGTCTATAAAGATTGCGTAGCCGTAGCCAATTTGGTGCACAGGACAAAATTGATAAAGGTCCACAGATAGTTTTAATACGTTTTTGTTTCTAAAACAATTTACGCAGAATTTTTTACCATTTTTATAGCCTTTGAAATAATCTATAGTTTTAATAAGATTATACTTCTAAAGCGATTTATGCAGAATTTTTCACATTTTTATAGCCTTTGATGTGAAAATCCCCATGTCATATTTTGTTCGTTTACTATTCCGTTTTCGTAAGGTTTTTTATTAATATTCTACGCTTATAACTCTTATCGAATTAAAGCCATTTTCCAAAATATGTAGCTCTACATTATTATTTCTATTTTTTATGAAAATAGTTTTCTCATTACATTTTGAGATTGTTAGCCTTCTCTCTTTAAAATATTTTCCTAATCCTAACTTTCGGTCCAAATGTTGTGTACAAAAACACGTTTTAACTGTGGCTAGTAGGAAATTTAATTTAAATAAATTTGTAGTTTTGTTTGTTAAATATTTAGTTGTATATATTATATTATCAAGTTTAATTAATCATATGAAATTAATACATAAATTGACAAAGTGTTTTAATATTATTATCCTATGAACACTCTAGTCACGTACAACATTCTAAAATAACTTTTATTTCAGTGTAGCCGGTTAACAATTGAATTTTAATTAAAATGTTGAAACTGTTCAGTTGGATAAAATAGTAGCATCCGCATGCGGGCGCCAAAGTGGCTCGTATATCATTGTGGGCGAACCAACTGGCCAATCATCCCGCCGACCCGCCAATCACCTTCAATGCCACGCCCACATCTAAGCCGTCTCGCCTGTGGGAGGCGGTAACGATAACGAGGCATCTCAGCCATGCCATCTGCACACCCTAATCGATTTATTGTGTGCTAACGGCATTAAAGCCACCGCCGTAACAATATAAACTGGCCCAAAGATCGGCATCTGGTCGGTTGAATGGCTGATAAGCTCTACCAGCTATCAAGTGGCTGTAAATTTGCCAGGCGAGAGCAATTAATTGACAGCTTGATGTGGTCGAAACGCGATGTCATTTGTCAGTGGCGTGGGCCACGTGACGCATGAGTAATTCATGCAGATCTCAGCTAATTAATAATCGTGTTGTCTGTTATCCCACTCTACTTACATCCTTATCGAGTGTGCCAGGGACTGCTAGGTCCCTGATTAAAAACACTGAAATGCTTGGAGATTTAATCTCTTTGACTAATTGCACAAGAAACTGAATGCGAGTGGGAATTGAGATAAGGGGTGATAATCCTAGAGCTATTAATATGCCAACACACGAAGTAAATTTAAGTGGCTGTGTTAGTGAGCCCGTGGTTCTCAGAGGAGCTTCAATCATCTCATTGGAAAAGATTTGCATTAGATTTAATTGATTGGTTTTTAGTTGGGTGTTCTAGGAAAGTTGTGCATTTCGATTAGGTCTAATGGTTCACAGATAGCTTATCACTTTAAGTAATTGCTCAAGAAAATGAGAAACAAGGGCAATTAAAAAAAGTAGAAATAATCCTTAATTTAAGGCTTACGTAACTATTTTACCAACACGCCAATTATCCTTTTTATAAGGGCTTTATGGTAAAATTTAAATTTGTAGTACTTTCATTGGGTGTCAGATTTGCTTTTATAAAAAAGTATTGTAGATTCCATTGGCCTTTAATGTTTAAATTGCAAAAAAAATGCAAAATTTTTGCATCAAGTTCCTGATTGCATTCAGTTTATTTTATACTGGTTGCAGTCTCAGTCTTTTTTTTTCGCCCCAAGGAAACTCTGTGGTAGCCCAGCACATTTCTGGTCCAAGCAGGAAATTAAATTCCAGTAAAACAAATCTCATTGGATGAGGAAAAATCCACTTCCCTTTTTCTCCGTTGGGCCAACGCGCAAATGCGTTTTTCATGTCACAGTCGTTCGGGGTCCACCTACGGGGTCCACCTTTCTGTGGGTTTTCGGGGAATGCAAATGGCCCAAAAGTAAAGTCTGAGCCACCCGAATGGAGAGATTCCCATGAAAGGTGTGTCGGAAATTAAATTACGAGCAGACACGCCGCATGGAACAGCATCAGCAAGCAAACAAGTAAACAAACAAACAAAAACGAACAGCAAACATTTCGGAGAATACGCCTTGCTGAGACTGAGACATTGCGTATACGCCACGTTGCGCATTAAGCCAAATAAACGAGCATTATTCATGTCCAGGCAAGCGTGCAACTTAACAACACCCCGCTGTCCTCTGTAATAAGTAAGCTAATAAGTACGTGTAAGTGTGGAATGCGACGACGATTTTGAAAGCAGTCGAGAACTCATCATGGCTCATGGACTTCGAATGAATGAACGATGCTAATGATTTCCCCAGAACAAAGCCCCACACTAAACAAAAATTGTGCACTTAATTATTTTAAAACCTTTACTTAAAATGTAAATAATTTTAAAATTATATATTGACAATCGATTTTTGTTTTTGTTAGCTTTCTTAGAATTTTCGTACTAACTTAGCTTAATAATTTATTTACCATTTAATAAAATGCCTTTGTTGTTGAAAAAAAGCAATTTTTGCGTTTTACAAGAACTTGGTTTCTTAGTATCTTTTAATGGACAAATTTATGTGTGTTTTTTAATTCGATTATCGTAAGGGGAAAGACATTCTGTCATACTTTCGAAAAGTATTTATTTTCGTTAATTTAATCAATTTTAGATAGTTTCCCATACATTTTTAATTTATAACAATTAAAACTAAAACAATCTTTGGACATATAATTTACCCTTACTTCAATGAAATTTTGTGTACCAATTTACACAAAAGGGGAAGTTCAGGGAAAAAAATATTAACTTTTATTCTGACTTTCAAATGAATCAATTCATTTTGATATCTTTGAAAGCTTTACAGCTTAAGTCTGGCTTGAGCCTGGCTTCGAATTTCTTTCCTAAAAAGTCTAAAATATTTTATGAAAGTCCAACTTATAGTTGAGTTAACGCGGTACTTTTTTGTATTCTTAATTTTCACTGCGGTTATATTTATTTTCCTCAGTGTCTATAAGAATGTGTTGCTATGGCATTCTGATGACAATCAGGGGAAATTAGTGCGTCAGTGTCTCCGATAAATGCCATGAAGCGAGAGGCAGATGAAAGCAATTTCGGGGCCGTGACCTTGGGCCATTGGAAATTACTGCGGCTTCCATTACCTAGCTCGAAATCGAATAGGGTTTCCGCCGTTGAACGACTCTAATTTGGATTCTATAATTGCTAACATCCTCCGTAATTTGCATTTGCTGACCGGCCCTAAGTGCTATTTGAACAACAGATTCCCCAGCAGCCCTGGCGAACACACATCTCAGATGTCTCATGGCGAATTCATGACTGCCAACTGTGAGCCCTGCGCATTGTCCTTGTCACGCTCCTGGCTTGTTTGTCGCCTGTTCTAATGATGCCGCTGCTGCGGATGCTGCTCCTGCTATGCAAACGAGGAATTTACAGGGACAATATTGACGCCGGACGCTGGCAAACAAAAATGCTAGGGCCAATTCCCCGAAAACCCAACCGCACCGGGGGTAAATATTAGCCTGCCTCCGGAGCAGCGAGTACAACTCGGCCGAGGTGAAACCGCAAATCAGGCCGAGACGATAAGTGCACCAAGATGATACCACTTAAATTCGCCATGGCAGCCAATTGAAGGGATTGACCAAATAGTCAGAGTTCAACTGCGGCCACTCCAATACGCTTTGCTTGGCGTCAGGCAGTTAAGAAAGCCAAGTTATAATGACTTTCTGGCAGCGGCAACAAAGGCGAAAAAGTGGTAGAAGGCAAACAAAGCCGCAGGACATTGGCATTTGGCCCAGACTTCGTGGCAGGGGTGCTGATTGAATAGTTTGTGCGTGGCCGCAGAGTCCCACAAGGGCTACAAAATAGCAACTGCTCGGCAAGAAAAATAGCAAATAACCCGTGGATTTAATGGGCCACGCCCACTGCCCCTGCCTCCACTGAAATTCGCATTAAATGCATGATAAATTTTCATTGTTGTTGGCTGGCATTTCTCTAACAACTGAGCTCCAGACTCCTGCCAGACGTAATGACGTTGGCCATTTGATGGATTCCCTAAGCATCGTATAATTGGTTTAGCACACTGCTGGCCGGGGGATTGATTGATGGGCTATAAAGAGAGAAGGACTCTTTTGTGGCCGATGACTACGCTGCGAATGCAGACAGTGGATGTGGCGATTAAATGGCCACAAACCGCTTGACAGTCGGCTGTCAGCCGGAGACACCTGAAGATCTGTCAAAACAAGGCAAACCCACACCCTATAGCAACATTTCACAATATTCCCTCCCGCACTCGGGGCGTATACGTGCTATAATGCCAAAAAGGAGCACAAAGGAGGCGTTGGCAACTTTCCGACTCAGCTCTCCCTTTCGCCTGCCCACTTTCTCCTTGTTTTCTTTCACCTTTCGCTTGACCCGTGTCCATCCATACTTGGCCTTGGCAGCCTGTTTGGAATCGACAGCATTATGCCTTAAATATTTTAGTAGCAATCTTTTAGGCCCAACAAGAGGCTCTCGGCTCCGGCCGACAAAAAATGAGTGAAAAGGTAGAAAAATATAATCGGTTGCCTGTGCCGACTTGTGCCTTGACCTTCCGCCCATTGTTTGTTCGCTGGCTTTATTGTTATGGCAAATGATAAATTGATTAGTTGTTGCTGCTGGCTCTGAGCCACCCCCACTTACCCTCCCCCAAGATTATATCGCCTTTACAATTAACCTGCGTCTTTTCGCATCCTCACTCTTATCTTCGTCGCCGCGCTTCGTTAACTTCATATTGTTTTTATTGACAGCTGCAAGGAATGGCAGCCTGCCTTGCGGGTCTTTGTGCAAATTAAAGCAAACAAATGTCTAGTGCCTTTGTGTTTCGCTGTGTTGCCACAGCTTAATGGACAAAATGTATGACGACCAAACAATTGACTTTTAAAAACATTTGGCTTTAGCTTTTACATCATAAAATATTAGCACGAATTAAGTTAAGCCTATTTGGTTTTAGCTTACCTATTTTTGGTTAGACGGAATTTCTTCACAACATTGTATTTCCAACTTTTTTTATGGGAAACTAGGATTTTATTAAAAATTCTTTCGTAAATTCCCTATCAAAACACTCAATCGATTTTAAAATATTACACTGAAATAATGTAAGTATCGATAAATGCCGCCTCTAATGGCCACAATTGGATTTCGGAATAAAGTAAGTTCAATGTTTTTGTGTTTATTAATACCTATCGAAATGTAGAAGAAATTTTTCAAATCAGACCATTCATTAAAAAGTTTTGAGCAAATAATGGAATTCAACCAGTGCAAGCAGTTGCTTTACTTCATCTCCTTACCACTTCCTTTAGCTGAGTAACGGCTAACTGATAGTCGAAATACAGCGTATTCCTGAAAAATATATTCAACAAAAAATAAATAAAATAATTTTCATTAAATTCTTCGAAAATTTCTCCGAGTGTCCTAGTTAAGCCTTCTCTATCGCAGCTATGCAATTTCCGTCATGTCAATACAGAGCGTGAATTCGGCGTAAAATTCCTAGTAATCTGTCGCCTCCATTTCAGATCAAGGACATCACGAGGAATATCCGCAAGGCTGTTGTGGCCACCACGCTTTCGGAGTTGCGGGTAAAGGTGTCGGTGAAATTTGAGCGAGCTCAGCCGGCGATTCACCTGGATTGCGATGGCACCGAGGTCGATGATGAGGAGTACTTCAGCACTCTGGAGCCAAATGCCGAATTGATTGCCGTCTTCCCCGGCGAGCAGTGGCGCGACGTGAGTTGTTTTGCCCCGTTATCCCGGCTCTCACTCATCCACTTCCATTTCCATATCCATATCCATTTTACCCTCAGCCCAGCGACTATAATGCCAATCTGCGTCGCACATCGCTGGATGCTCAGCGGTTGCGGAAACTGGTGAGCAAACTGCAGCCGAACTATATGAACGATGATGATTTGGACAAGCTGTCGAACATGGATCCCAACTCTTTGGTGGATATTACGGGACGGGAGCCCAAGGACAACGAATACTCGGCGAGGAGCGACGTGGCCGCCAGGATGTCGACGGAGTTGTCCTGCTAAGGGACTCATTCCCTCAACGAACGAATGTAGCTTAAGGACTGTGTGAATCGAGTTGTATATAGGGAATTTGTACGAGTTTATATGGCTAGCCGGAATATTTTTGGAAAACGTTTTGATGACGGCACTTGAAGCGACCGATTTGGATGGTTGTACCGTGGGGTTTTATCTTTATAACCGTAGATCTGAGAGTTGTGTATTTTTCGAGCCCACATTGTCGTAGAGCAACTCACCTTGATTGTCTATTATCAGCCGCTAATTGTTCCTAGACCAATAGCCGTGTATGAGCCAAAAACCTGGAGGGGGCCTCAAAGGCCGATCTCCAGTCTTAGATAACCTTACCCTCACCTCACTCAACGCCTCAACGGACGATCAACGAATTGCAGAATAGATCTTATCTACGCAAATAGATATAGTATATTTTCCATAGCAGAATCTTTGTGAATGTCACGCAAAAACAGTTTGGGTTATTAGGGAGCAACAAAAATGTACTGTAATTGAATCTCAATTAAATCAATTAGCAATTCAATAAATGTTCACCCTAGGCACACAAAAAGGGTTTTTACCTTTTTTTGTATTTATGATACATCAATGAACAAGCACAATTTGCTGCACTATATAAAGGGTCATAGAAGCCGGAATTTAATTCGATTTAAATTTACGTTGTGTCCACAGGAATCAATTGAAAATTGTAATTTGTAACTTAAAAAAAAAAAACAAAATAAAAGAGGAAATAAATAAATGGATAAATGTGTGAAAATTACTTTTTATCGAAACAATAAAATTCGATTTTATCTGCTGAGTTGGACTTCTTTCCGGATTTATTGTGGGCGATAAAAAATACTTTGCGAGTAGTTTTCCCTGTCAAGGATAAGCAACTATGGCCGAAATAATTCCCTTTTATTTGTTGGCTTTGGAAATGTGAAATGCACATACATCAATCCTTTTATCGATTCAGAGGTAAATAGTCTAAGCATTTTCTTATATTTTAAGCTAACTAAAAGGGTCCTGCAGGTCCTTAAGTCGTGTGTGTTAAAAGTGAGCTCTGGTGAATAGTAGCAGTGCTTATACTTTAAGGAGAACTTGTAATTATCCGAAGAGCCTTAGCTTTTCATTCAGAGTCCGACCTTCTATTAGCTCACCACCCCTCTTCAGAAAACCCAGAAATTTAAAATCTCCATTTCCATTGAAATGCTCTCATAGATGAAAATCTATAGACAAAAAAAGTGGAGATTGCACTATGAGAAACATGGTAAACATAGTTTACTCATCGTCCGCCGGCCATTTAAAAATTGTTTCCATGTTGAAGTTCCGGTCTGTGAGGACGGAATATGTTCTGGAATCCCTGCCAGGCGCAAAAGTTTAAATGCAAACGGCATAATGGAAACGAGATGGCGCTTCCGCACAACAATCACTCGTATCGGAAGCCTTGGATGGACCTTTGGGCATCCTTCGCATGGAATTCCGCACACACACAGAGTGCGACAAATTTTTAATGCGGATAATTTCTGGACTGGCGACAAAAGCGCAGGAAGTGTTACACATGGCTGAGTATGGTATAATATGTTCGAGTAACAGTGTATGTATTGGATGGTGGGGGAGAAAAACACCGGGAAAGCTGACAGATAAAGGTAAACCTATGGAATGCCAGCCAAATGCGGAAAGCATTGGTCAGAGTTGGCTGCCCTTGGCTGGCAGATATATGGTAGGTATGTATTTTTAGCTAACCGACTCATTTCCCTTGCAACTTTTTGTTTGCTTACCCTTAAAAAGTTCGAACGTGCCACCTGGGGAGGGGGAGGGTATTAGGGTACATCCGCCAGTTGCGGCTTACATTAACAACCATGGCAGATTTATGCCCCAGTTATGCACTTCTTGGTGTCTCTTACAGCAGCCTTAACAGCTCATTGGGCGGCCTGGGAATTTCCAACACCTGAGCTCCTGCCGCGAAGAGTCCTTGGCTTCTGTAGCTTCTGTAGCGGCGGAAATGTCATTGTTGCTTTGAATCAAACGCATTAAAAATTTATTGAATTTATTTTTATGAGTCCTCCTTCGTGTTCCTTGGCAGCCGTCTCATTCGAGTTGCCTCCTGCTCTCCTGGCATTGCACTTAAGCTTAGTTTACCAGGTTGCCGGTGGGAGGAGGTTGGGAAGAGGCCCTGCTTATGCAGCTAGATGTCTCACAAATCGTTCCATAAAATGCAATGACAAGACTAAGCCCGGGCACTCGACAAATGTCAATCGAGAGCAATTAACAGGATTTGAAAAATCCTTCAGTATGGAAGATGGGAAGAAGGAAATGCAAAAACAATGAGACATTGTGAAAGCCGACACTCGACAAGCATTTATAAAATGTATAGATAATCGGTGCAATTTTAAAATTGAAAACTAATGCCTAAAATAAATAAACAACTTTCTAAAACCATTTTTATTTTTGTATAGAATGATGTGCACATTGTGCATATTAAAATAAATATATTTCAAACTGTTAATAATGAATGTAGTGAACTGAAAACTCATATTCAGATTTCTATTGTTTCCATTTCATTTTATTCGTCGTTATACAATTCGTTCTAGCAACTAAAGAAAATAATATTATGCAGGCGCCCACAGACGCCTCGGTGAAGGGAGAATAATGAGAATAATCGAGAGAAGGACGTAAATGCTCATCGACTGGCGGAGCTCCTCGAACAGTGCTCCCGGCTACAGTTCCTTTCTGGATGTCCTTCCAAGGAGCAGGGGGAAGACGGATTTCGGGGAAAATCATAAATGAATAACAATTTCCGAATAACAAGAATATCAGGCCGTTTCGGTGGACAAAGGATATGGGCGGGGTGGTCAGTAGACGAACTTCTTCTGCTCGCCGTAGAGCGACTCGTAGAGGGAGGGGGCCAGGTGCTCGGCCAGGAAGATCTGCAGCTTCTCGGTGGCCGTCACCGGAGTGTAGCGTGCCATGGGGAAGGTCCTGGTAACGGCATCGATGAGGACGCGCAGCGTGGGCTGGATGTCGGCCGCCTGGAATGGAAATGCGAGAAAGTGCGGATTAAACACTCGTTAGCCACCGGACACACGTTTTCTAGGGGTGGCTCTCTCACCTGGCGCGAATACTTCTCCACCGACGTCATGGCCGCCTCGTAGTAATCCTCGCCGTAGGTCTTCTTCTGTTCCGAGGAAAGCTGGTTCCACATTTGCTTGGCCTGCGGAAAATATGCCAGGGGAAAGATGGGAAGAAGCCAAGTTAATGAGTTCCCCGCAAACTGTTTTAGCAGTCCCCGTTGCTCGGAAATAGTTATCGTATCGTATAAAACTAAAAGCATGAAAAGGCTTTGCCTTCCACGTGGAGAAAATCCCCAGCGTTCAGGTGTGTTTTGAAAACCACTTTGAGTTTCAAATAACTTTAGTTTATCTAGGCAATAACATTGTTTTCTTTAATATCCTTTAGCTTACTTGCATTTAGTATGTATTTACAAAAACTATGGACATTTAATTTAAATTTTATGTCTAAAATTTAACAATTAATTATACCCGTTACTCGTAGAGTAAAAGGGTATGTTGTATTCGTGCAAAAGTATGTAACAGCGTTTCCGACCCCATAAAGTATATATAATCTTGATCAGGGTCACTAGCCGATTCGATCTAGCCATGTCCGTCTGTCCGTCCGTATGAACGCTGAGATATCGGATTCTACAAAAGCTAGAAGGTTGAGATTTTCTACACATATTCTTGGGCCTCTTACGCAGCGCAAGTTTATTTCAGCCGAGCGCCACACCCCCTATAACGCCCACAATCGCCCACTAACGATTTTAAAAAGTGTCCTGCGCGCACATCTTTAAAGATTTCCGAGAAGTATAAATGCAATTTTGTTGTAAATATTTAAACCTATCGAAATGTAGAAGACATTTTTCAAATCGGACCATTCATTAAAAAGTTATACGCAATCAATATATCTATATATATCTATCTCCCTCGCACTCCCTTTAGCTGAGTTACGATTATAGTCGGGACACCAACCCGCGTACAGCGTTTGCACTCCCTTTAGTTGAGTGACGGGTATTAAATAGTCGGGACACCAACCCGACTATAGCGTTCTCTCTTGTCTTAATTTGAAATTAAAAAAAAAATATTTATTAAAAAAAAAAGAAAATTGGACATTAACTTTGATTAAATCTTGATAATTTAATTGCTAGTTTTAGATAACCCTTTGTGAGGTATTAATTTAAACTTTAGTTTTCCTAAAACAAATTATTTCTATCAGTGCAGCCCATTAAGTGCTGCATATTAATGCAATGTCGCTATTAGCTTCCATTCTCACCTGGTCACGCAGCTCGGTCTCGTTCAGCCAGCCGTTGCCGGGGGCGAACTCTCCGGCAGCCACCACGGAGACATCCACTCCCCGGGAGCGCATCTCCTGGCGCAGACAGGCTGCGAAGCAGTCCACGGCCGCCTGGGTGGCACACTGGATTCCCCGGACGGGGGACGGGACGCGGTTCAGGCCGGAGGTCAGGAAGACCACGCGACCATGGGCACGGCGCACCAGTGGCAGGAAGACTTGGGTGAGGCGGGCGGCACCTTTTGAAAATTCGAAATCGTAACTGCAGCCCTTATTCTTGGCCATGCGTGTGTCTCCGCTTACCCAACAGGTTGAGGTCCAAGCTCTTGCGAAGCACGGCAAATGGAATCCACTCAAGCTCGCCCAAAGCTATCCAGTGGGCGCAGTGCACCACAGACCACAATCCTTCGGCGCCATGGGGCAAATGTTGCGACACATAGCGGGCAGCTTCCAAAATCTAAGGACGTAGGGTAACGGATATCGGTTGTGAACTCGGCTAAAAGCTCGGGACCTCCCACGGATAAACTTACGGTTTTATCCGATGTGACGTCCAGATGCAGCAGCTTCATGCGTCCCGAGGTCTCCTCCTTGAGAATCTTGGCCTCGTCCGAATCCTCGATGGGCGTGTTGAATCCGGCGTAAACGGTGAAGCCCAGGTCGTCCAGTTTCTTGGCCAGGTACCAGGCCAGTGGGGCCTCGCACCCGGTGATTAGCACGCCCTTGCCCGAAGCGGATACCTGTACATAGAGAGAAAGCCACGGAGTCATGAGCACATTTTAGATTTTTTTGTCTTTTAGATAATTGCAGAAAAAATAAAAATAAATCAATATTGGTGTATAAAGATTTTGGTTCCTGGTTTTAACGCTTCAATTTAAGCTTGAATCAATACAATTTATATTTGAAGGGAAAAGGCAATTAAAACTATTACTTTTAAATAATTTGCTAAATATTTATGAACATATTTAAGAATCCAAGAGAATTGAATTTAAGAAGCACACACAAAAATAAAAAGAAAGATATTCAATATTTCCCAATTACATTAGGAACTTGTAATTTTCATTAGGACTTTTTTTACACAAGTGTAAAAAATCAGTCTTTCCTTTTCTCAAATCTGTTCTTAAAAAATTTCATTAATATATCTTTTATTTTTATCAACGTGTATGGGTCTGAGGTGAACGAATTGATGCTGGGTCTTTCAACTCTTGTGCCAATTAATGTTCAATAATCACATCGCTAATTAGTTGACTGTTGAGCCGTGTCTTCTTATTCGTTTTTCTGCCCAAATACAAAGTTTTCTTAGCATACTGTGTGAGAAGTTTGACCTTTGGGCCCAGCCGAATTGACGTCCGTGGGCTTTAAGACCGGCCACTTAAAAGTCGTGTCACAAAACTGGGCTTAGGCGGCAGCCAGTTGGCAACT